CAACTAGTAAGTCCTATCGATTTGCACAGCCCGTTTCACCTCACTAACGACCTGACAGTATCAACGCTATCAAGCTGTATGGATCGTATCTCCAAGAGGCGCAGAAATTGTGGCGTCAGAGCAAGGCCACAGCATAGCTCACTAGACAGTATTTGCAAATCGTGCTCTAAGTGGGCAACTCAGGACAATCAGAACATGGATCCGGCTACATCGCAGAAATCGAGAATACCCATTCCAAGAAGAAACTCTACTCTTTTGTCGTCGTGACTCGTGACCAAAACGAAATGCGCTCTTTCAGCCACCAACCAGTCTCAATCACCGAGCGATACCTGGTTCCTGAGCGCGCTAAGGCAAGGATCGTGGCGGATGGCAGAATTGCCCAAATAGGGAATTCTGAACGACAAAAGTGAGGGGCATCAATTGTGCGGGGCACATCGTTGAGATACGAGACAGGCTCGTAAAGCGTCCCAGAGAAGAGTCCAAACACTCCCCACATGTGAGCACATTTCCTCGAAGTTGTTTTCTATTGACATGGAAATCGTTTTTGAATTTGTGATTCCACCTCAGAGCCACTACAGCCTTCACTTGATCCTACTTCCCTTCGTCGCGAGAGTCAGCCGGCTAGAATCGGCACCATGTGTCGACATCAGTCATCAGCGGTCGTGGACGTGAACACCAACTCCAACTTCAAGGAGGTCGTCACGAAGCATACCGAAATCGATGTGACGATTGACTTCGAGCGAACCGTGCTTGTCGGGTCAACAATCATTACGCTCGAGTCAAGACTGGCGAGTCTGACTGAAATCATTCTTGATACCAGCTATCTAATCGTGAAACAAGCTACCATCAATGGCACCCGAGTTTCTTGGGACTTGAAAGCCCCAAAAGACGCCAATGGTAGCCCCCTTCATATCTACCTCGATCGCGCCTACGAAAATGCAGAGGCTTTCAAACTCGCCGTAAGCTCTGGCTCATGAACTAACTTGGAACTCTGATGCTGAGTACACCCTCGTAGATCGACTTCGAAACAACAACGGAAACAACTGGCCTTCAGTGGTTCAAGGCTTCGCAAACAGATGATAAGAAATATCCATTCATGTGTAAGTCCCCAAAAGAGATGATTGGCTGTTGTTATCAGCTCATACACCGCTAACTTGGTGAAGTCTCCCAGGGAGAGCTCGTTCACGCACGCTCCATGTTCCCATGCCAGGACACTCCATCTATCAAGACAACTTTCGACATGACTATTCGGTCCATCTTACCAGTTGTCGCGAGTGGTATTCCTGAAAATGACCTGATCTTCCCTCCCGTCCAGGAGCCCCTAGAGCTCAAGACCTACAAGTTCAAACAGGAGATTCCAATTTCTAATTATCTGTTTGCGGTGGCTAGCGGGTATGTGTGTTACTCCGACCGATTATGGAATACAGCTGATGGGCATCTCTTAGGAATCTTGCAGGAGAGAAGATTGGTCCTAAGAGCTATGTTTACTGTGCGCCTGGCGATCTCGAGGCCTGCAAGGCGGAGTTCACACCCGATTTGCAAGCCATTATTAAATCTGCGGAGGTAATGTAGCTGGCTTATCGACGACCTCGCTGCGATGACTGACTTTGTTTATTTTTGACTGCAGAATCTCATCTTCGAGTACCCATGGCCGCTTTACAACCTCGTTGTCCTGCCGAAATCGTTCCACTTAGGAGGCATGGAAAACCCAGTCTTCAACTTCTACAGTGCTACTGTTGTCTCGGGCGACCGTGAGAACATTGGAGTCGTGGCCCACGAGTTCGCTCACAGCTACAGCGGAAACCTTGTCACTAACGACGCCTGGGAGCACTTCTGGTTGAACGAAGGATGGACTATCTACATAGAGCGTTGCATCCTGCGAGACCTCCGCGGGGAAGAGGCAGTCCAGCTTGAAGCCATCGTAGGATGGCAAGATCTGCTCTACAACATTGAAGCTTATGGCGGCAACGAAAGCGTGTTCACAAGTCTCGTTCTAGAATTTCAAGGAAAGAGGCCTGACGACATCATGTCGAAGATCTCGTACGAGAAGGGCTACACTTTTTTGTGTTTTCTGGAGCAGCAGGTGGGGAGGGAGAAGTGGCACAAATTTGTTCCTCACGTAAGCGATTGTTGGTTCTGCAATTGTACAAGATACTAATGATGGCTTTAGTACTTCAAGACTTTCTTCGGCAAAAGCGTTAACTCTCAGCAATTCAAGAGTTGCGTTCTGGAGTTCTTCTCTCAGGACGTCCACGCCGCAGCTGCCCTTCACACGGTTGACTGGGAAACCTGGTATCACAAGCCCGGTGCACCGCCAAAGCCTATCTTCGACTCCAGCCTCTACAGAGATTGCAATGAATTATGCGACAAGTGGAAGATGCTAAGTTCGAACGAAAGCGCCTTTACGCCCTCGTCTAAGGATGTTGAGGGCTGGACGGTTGGACAATTATTAGTCTTTCTCGACCTTCTGATTGAAAGTTCCAGTCCTATCCCCAAACAGTTCAGCCACGCACTGGGTTCACAGTATGGTTTACTATCCTCAGGGAATCTGGAGGTAGTTAGCCGCTATCTCCGTGTTGCACTGCGAGCAGGCGACGAAAGTGTCTTGAAGCAGACCGAAGAGGTTCTTAGCCAGACCGGCCGTATGAAATTCGTCAAGCCACTGTAAGCTTTCTCATAGTAATGAAGCTTCTCCCGTGATAGCTGATGTGACGTGCCAGGTTTGAGGGGTTGTTGTCGGTCAGCGAAAAGTCGGCTGTGGAGTTGTTTAATAGACATCGCGACTTTTATCACCCGACATGTTTGAGGTTGCTGAGAAACGTGCTTGAGAAGCATGAACTAACTGTTGGTTGATGTGGATGTTCGAAAAGCCCCTCAGGTTTCGTCTTCATACATGTATCTTGGCCATCGGGGTCTCCAGAGCTCAGGCTTTCCTGGCCTTTCACACATTTTCCCGTCAGAATCAAACAGCAGTCAAAAAGGTGCGCCCGCAGAAGATAACCTGCCGTATGAAAGTATGGGAAAAAGGTTAGAAGCGAAGAAGGTTGGGTTGGGCTTGTGGAGACATAATCGACATCTCTATGGCTACTGGCTGCATGTAGATTTGAGTCACAACTAGGAAAGCCACTTGAGATACCGAGGTAGACTTCATCTTACGATGCTATGTGTTTTGAGTTTTATTCGGTCATACACAAAAGTTTTCTAGGGTGTCTATCACTTGTGAAAGAGCAAAGTGATCCTTTCAATACAACGTGACTAGTATCCGACTTATCGTAAGTGAAAAGGATAACGTTTCCGAGCCCCTGGTGGTGGGAAAACGCCACTCGGCTTTATGCACTGCAGCAGATGTAAGCCCGATTCTCGCTTACTTCCCCGGGCCCAACTCCGAAGCAGCGCAAGTGGAAGCCGGCTCGCGACCCGGAGTTAATGGCTGTAGAGTACTCAGCCGTTGCGGTAGTTAAAAGCGAAATATCCATTATTATTCATTTCCCGTGCAGAATCAACAAATCTCTTGGCATCGGCATAACACTACAACCATATTCCCTAAGATAAATCCTATCCCTGCAGTATGTCGTTTCCTTACAAGCAAGTTCTCCTGGTGGGTGCCACTTCCGGGGTTGGCGCGGCTATGGCGGACAAGCTTGTTCAGGAGGGCATCAAAGTAATTGCAGTCGGTCGTCGCCAAGAAAGACTAGATGCGTTTGTCCAGAAGCATGGGCCATCCAGGGCAGACTCGATCTGCTTTGATATAACAGACCGAGCCGGGTTAGATAACTTCGTGAACGAGTAAGTTCTCTAACATTACTGTAGCGGGTTAGACCGCCGAACTTATGAAGTCAGAGTTTGTCGAAAATTCCCTGAACTGGATTGTGTGTTCATCAACTCAGGCGTACAGAGCCAGATCAGGCTTTCCCGACCCAGTAGTGTGGACCTGGACACATTTCGTAACGAGGTCAACACCAACTTCCTAAGTGTTGTCGACATTTCCATCAAGTTCCTCCCAAAGCTCCAAGAGAAGAAATTTCCCACCGGATTGATATTTACCGGAACTCACCTCGCCATCATTCCCGCTACCACACTACCGGCATACTCGGCGTCTAAAGCCGCGCTTCACTCTTACGTCTACAGCCTTCGAGAGCAATCGAGGGGTTCCAGCACCAAGATTATTGAGATTTGGCCACCAGTTGTTCAGAGTGAGTGCAAGTCAAGGGTTCCTTACCTCCACGCGCGACTAACTTTGGCAGCTGAGTTACACGACTACATGGGCCAAGAGCGAGGCCGATCTATGGGAATGCCTGTCCAGGAGTTCACCGAAAAAACATACTCTCAACTTGTCACTGGCTGCGATGACGTGCTGGTCGGTTCAGTTGGTCGAGAAGAGCCTTATTTGGAGCTATTCAGGTCCCGGAAGCAGCAGGCCGACGACCTGACAAAACTAGTCCTGTCTCATTTTGAGCTATAGTCCTGTCGGGAGTTGGAGATCATCCTCATGGATGGGTCATGAAAGAGCTGAATGCAGATGACAGCCACAAAGAAGGATTGACACCCCAGCATTCCGTTGGGTGGTGCATGACGTCGCACACCCTTTTGCGGGGTGCAGCGATGCAACCGAGTTGAATTCCTTGTCAATCCCCTTGCGAGCCAATGAAAAGTTTCTGGAAAAGGTTTGGGGGATACGGAGAACAGTCTGGGGTGTGTTCGTACCCACGTCAATACCCCGACGGGATGGTTTCAACAGACTTGAGCCTCGGTCTTTCAAGGTAGGCAGGCTATGGGTGATTCATGTGATGAAATCGAGCCCAACAGCGGGGATTGGCGCCCACCAAGTCAACGAGGTCGGAAACGTCGGTCACAGTCCTACGTAGTAGGACGGAGGGTTTTGAAGTACACCAAATCAATTAACTGTCCAATGCTTGCTTGTACCAGCATAAACTAAAATATGTAGACAAAAAGAAGAGTTTTAGTCGTGATCATACGTCATGAGATCCAAGCTTGTGCCACTACTTATCGCCAAAGTGAGTCGCCGGCCATCGCCTCCTCCACGCTGGTCCGAAAAAGTAAACCACAGGAATGAATACAGCGAACGCGGCGATCAGCCCGGTATAGATCATCATCGAATGGAAGTATCCCATTTCGACAACCCAATCAGAGATCTTGAATGACAGTGCAAAGGCCAATAAAGCCCTGAAAGAGGCGATGTTTACCAATGCAGGGCCAGCAAGATGGGGGTAACATTCCAACACGTACACTGCGCCGATGGAGTTGGCACCCAAGAAGCCAAAAGCCATCAAGCCCAAGCCTGTCAGGAACGTGACCCAGGAGTAGTTCGCCTGGTTTGAGCCGGCCAAACCGAAAATGACGGCTCCGATAATGCCAGCGAGGGTCGGGATGATGAGATTGATGAGCTGATTCTCGGGCTCTCTGACACCACGCTTCATTGCGAGGCGGTTGGCCATCCAGTCGGCAGCTTTGCCAGTCACCAATGCCACTGCGACGGCTGCGACAAGGATAGGGAGGAGGCAAAGTCCAAGATTCATGAAATCCCATCTACAAGATTCGTTAGTTGTGCCATCAGTGGAATGACATGGTCAATGACTTACGACCACGGTGCGGTCAGAAGAGCGGGAGCAACGGTGTATCCAGCCGCAAAGGCGCATGCAATCATTACACTGTTGAGCATAGTAATGAAGAAAATCTGAGGGTAAAAGAACGTGCGAAGGGTGTCAACGAAGGCGTTAAAGCCCTTGCGCCACTCCATCTTGCCGTGGAACATGGCGATGTTGTACCGAAACGTTCTAGGCTCACGCAACTGCCCGGTCTCATCCCGGGGGACGCCATCTGAAATGTAGTCAGCTTTGACGTTGCTAATTTAGTTCGTGTTGAGTTTTAGACTTACTCATTTCGGCACGTGTGCGATCCCACCTAGTCTCGGGCATGAAGAAATAGACACCAACGAGGAATACGGCAGCACCCATCGCGGTGATGAAATACATCCATCTCCAGCTGAGGTTGATGATCATGTACGGAGCCGCGATTCCGAGGACGATGATGATCAGACCCTGGGCCGCGAAAATACCGGAGATCCAAGCGTTACGTTGATGGACGAAGACCATATCCTGGATGATGAAAGGGATCAAACTTTCGACAGTACCAGCGCCCAGGGCTTGCAAGCAACGAGCCAGTAAGTGCGATGGTAGAGATTGACTGGCCCCAGCCCACAAGGCACCGATGATGGCGAGAACACCAGTAATGAGTACCACCGGGCGACGGCCGACTGAAATGGCCAACGGTACCAGGAAAAGATTGGAGAGTCCGATAACCAACACGGGAAGGGATGCCAAGAGATAGACGTGGAAAATTGGTGGTGCCCCAGGGAAGCTGGAGAGAATCTTCAAAGGGTCAGTCCCGGCGGGAAGGCCTCCATTAGACGTCAAATCTTTGAGAATCTTCGGATCGAGACCAGCGTACTCCACAGCAAAAACTGGGAGCATAGCACCCAGAATCAGCTCAGCTGCCGCAGCCAATGCGCCGAAACAGCAGAGGCAGAAGGTTCCTAGGAGCTTGCGAGAGATAGGAAGATTGAGGGGATCTCGCGGGTCCTTCGTCGGTGCGGGTTGCAGAATAAGTTGGCCATTTCTGTAAAGAGCCGCGTCTCTTGCTTGTGCCTGCTCGTCAAAGTCAAAGGTGGATCGTGAAGTCTCGACCTGCTTCAGTTTCTGGATCTCAGTCGATGAGCTGTTGTGTTTCCGGAACCTGTCGGTCTGAAAGTGATGCTGGTCATTTTTGTCACTCTTGTCAGCATCACGGGCCCAGGATGGTTCGAATAGGCTGGAGCCGTTAGATAATCGTGGATCGTGAGTCGCAGGGGGTGGTGCCATTCTTTGATTTCTTTGTGAATCCATTGTTCTTGTGTAGTGTGGTATGATATCTATGGAATGCAGGGCCTGGAGAGGGGAGGCCAGATGAATTTAACGGGGGAAATTGACTTCAAAAAAGGTTAATGGCTTCGAGGACCTTGGTCCTACTACGCCCAATCTAGAGTTAACACAGACCATGGCGCTATGATAACCGAAACATGTGTCCTGACTGGACGGCGAGTCTATGCACCACGAAGAAAAAGGTTAAGCGGATACTTTCTGGATCGTTACTAATTGCCGTGGCGACTGTACCTGAGATTAGGTATAGTGCTACTGTCGCCACACGGCTTGGTGGCTCTGCCCAGAGTGGCTTTGCAGAACAATCAGATGAAAGGAAGACAAAGAGATGCATCCACACAGACGCTGAATTCAACATCGCGCCCTTACCCCGCAAGGCCTGGCCCACCGCTCAGCTTCCGAGAGTCTAAATTTGATCTCCCCTTCGATTTGAGTTATTCCAGTCATAGGATGTTTCGTATATGTCATTAGATCCGTGTTGGTGCATACTTATCTCTTTCGATATATCGTCCTCCAGCATCCTCGGCAGCAAGACTGGACGAACACATGCTCCGAAAAGCTGTTCTTGATTTGCCCATTTGGGCAATATCGTTTCATGGATGTCATACGGTCGTCATGCAAACAGTCCAGCTGCCCTTTTAAATCCCCAGAAGGGTCCCCAATCAAGGGTTGCTTGTCTGTTTGGCTTTTGTCGGGCAGTAAGCGATGTGGGGGGGCTGGTTTGACCCCTGGGGGGTGGTCTGGGGATGATCTGGGGAATCTGGGGAGAAGGCGAGGTCGTTTTTGACGTCAAGGGCGAGAGAGCATGAAGGAGGTGTATTCGGTATCTACTATCTCCGTGCTAGGTGAGCTGGATGGAGGGTTGGCCTGCAAAACAATTGCGACTCCGACCTACTAGACAAATTTCAGCTTCCACAAATCGCCAAGTCTCGAATTATCCTCCGCCAGCCCACCATGAACGATGACGGAGTTCTGTGCAACATCGGCATCGAACCATCCTCTGGGATCAGGATGATCACCTTGCGTTTCGACCTTTTCCCACGTCTGTTCCTCCACATCAAATGCCCAAAAATCAGCCAACATCTTCCCGGCTCCGGCGTGACCAAGGGAGCTTGGGTCCCGCTCTCCGAACATAGTGACAATTTGGGTCTTCTCTTGGACCCTTACGGTGACCAAGGCCGAGACACTACGGGATTCAGGACCACTGATACCGTCCGGAGCGAAGGCAACCGTAGTCCAAGTCTGAGAGGCACAGTCAAAGATGTCTACGGACCCGCCCTGCTCGGTCTTTCCATCAAACCCGTTCATCCGATAGAGCTTGCCGTCGTGGTACGTGATTGAGGGTCCTCCACGCGCTGGCGGCGGTGCGTCAGGAAGCTGGGTCCAGCTCTTAGACGTCTGAGTGAAACGCCAGAGATCAGCCAGACGTCCCTTTTCCGGGCAGCCAGCATGGACATAAACATTATCAACACCATCAGACGCAACGGAGTGGTAGCTGCGTCCAGCAGGAAAGGTGGCAGACTTGTCTCCGGCGGGCTCGATCAAGTCCCATGTGTTTTTGGATGGGATGTAACGCCAAACGCATCCATTCTCCTCAATGGGTTCCATCGCGAGACCACCACGGCCGGAGAAGATGTATAGCGCATCGTTCAAGACAGCGCTTGGGGACCCAACGCGCGGAGAAGGAGCTGTAGCAGGAACCGGAATCGTACGAATATCTGCTGACCCTATATATGACACAGGACCTCTAGTCAGACAAGATGCCAACAGCATAAGTGAGAAGGCGGAGGTCCGGGTTGCTACCTTGAGGATCTTTCAGCTCGACGACGTCAACCTGATTGTCGACTGGCTCTCTGGGAACAAGCTCGCCACCAAAGACGTAAGCGCGGCCGCCGAGAACCGACACCGCCTGAGAAGACCGGCGAAGGCGATCACCAGAGGCAATACGAGTCCAGAGAGCAGATATCTTCGCCATCGTGTTGTTGTCTTTTCGAATTGCTCTGAGGTTCGAATTGGAAGGTTCTTTCGGAAAATGGCCTTGTTAAAAGAACCAAAAAATGCAAGTTTGTATCAAGTCGAGCTTTCAATCTTCTTGCACGCGGTTATTGAGGGACATGGAATGGAACGGGGCGATCGGGATAGGCAGGTTTAGCCGGACCCTGACCCCTACACGGAGGGACGGAGGCTCCGCACCATATTGACACAACTAGAAGAATTGACGCATACTCTCGGCAACCACAAACACCGGGTCGAACCATCAAGTGGAGGATTGTTACTCAGGTCTTGGTGCTGCTAATTCGGAGCCTGCCATCTATTGATGGGTTCCAAGGCAAATTGTTGAGAGTGAGCCTAAGTAGGGTGGGTAATTAGGATGCAACACACGAACATGAGAACGGCAGGTAACCGCCTATATCCGTCGTAATTGGCGTGTCAAATATCGGTTAATTTGACAGCATGTATAAAAGTAGAGAATGGTGAGGTTGTGTTTGTGCTGGTGTGTGCGCACTTGATGCGCCATCCTCACCTCACTTCTAAGCCTCAAAGCAGATCCCATCGTTCATAGGCACATATTGTAACAACAGTCGTGCCGAGTTTCGAGCCAGACTTTAACGATGGTGTCCTATTATCTAATTGTATTGATGGCTTTCGACGCCTTAAATACCCTCAACATCTTCAACATCTGGAACGATCCAATGGGGGCTGCGAATTGTTTCCGGGCCTCAATCAAACGGCACATGAGAGAGAAAGATAAGCAAAACACTCTCGTCATCACTGTTCTTTGCAGCATTTGGGGCGCGATAGTCAGCTTCTTCATCATATTTGTCTGCGTTGGTGCCATCAAGGCGTATCGTCATCCCGAGAGATATGGCCCACGAGACGGTTCTGAGGGCCAGACAGCTCAAGCCAGGATGCACGGAATTACTCGGGCGATGCTAGACACGATTCCGGTGATTAGATTGGGAGCCGTGGAACACTCGACTTCTGATATTGAGCTACAGAAAGCTGCGTCTAAAACTCCGACCAAGACAGATGGCGAAACGAAGAGCTGCAGTATCTGTACGGAAGACTTTTCCGCCCACGACAACGTGCGCGTACTTCCTTGCGGGCACGAGTTTCACCCAGCATGCGTTGATCCATGGCTGATCACCAAGTCTTCCACATGCCCACTCTGGTAAGTTGGAAAGCTGTGTACAGATCGTCGTTCTTTCAATCTGTCGACAATTCCACTCTTTTATGATGCCGGCGTTGCTAATTCGAATGGACAAGCCGACATGACCTTCACCCGAGCAGGACACAAGCACCCCAACAACATGGAAGCCCAGCTCCACTGAGTGAATCACAAGAGAGAGAAACCATGCGTCAGACAGTCCTTTGGATGAGATTGGCTAATGCCTAGATGATGGGAGCACACCAGTCGGAGCTTCATATGGCTTGTAATCTTGTATGTCTGATAGCAAAGCGAGAACCGGAGCTGAACGCCAGAAACTTGGCCTGAAGAATGTTAGTTCAGGAGGTTTCTTGCGTCCAAACAATTTACTGAGCAAAAATAAATTTGCTTCAGCATAAAATCCCAATTCTTTGAGAATTGGTCAGACTGCCAATATCTCAGGACTCGCTAGCCGATCGGGGTCAGATTCGTGATGGGCGGCACAGTAGTCCTTCCCGTGACCCGAACATTCTGAACTGCACAATCGAGGCTTCTTCGGATCACCTTTGAATCCATGAAGTCACCCTGGGCGAGCTCGTGTCCCCCCTGCTACTCTACTGTGTCATATCTCTCTCGCTTCTTCGTTTCCTTTTGGCTTCGACATCAGCTGCACCACCGGGATGATCAACTGCAAATTCTGTATCTGCCTTCTCGTTTTCCTTTCGGTGCTTTCGTTTCTTGATTTGACGCACAATGCCCCATACAAGCCCTATCACGGCGTATACGGGACAGAAGACTACGCCTGCGTAGCCTGCGTAGCATGGAGCTGCCATGAATGGTTCCAATCCATACTTACCAGTGTCTGGCTTTGAGGCCTCTTCTCTCTTATTGATGTTGCGCAAGGATGGCATGGTCGTCGGTGAGAAAGCTCACAGAGGTAGGTCGCTAGTCCGAAAGTGAAGTCTACGACTGAAGAAACAGCTGAACCTGGAGTTGGCTTGAAACTCAAAGATCGTTCGTATTTTGAAAGACTTGCTCCATGTTTTCAAGATGTCGTCACGGGGTGTAATGCATCAAACACCACGAGAAGTACTGCGAGGGCGGGGCAGAGGCTCAAGAAAATTTGTTGTACTTCGAATTATGCCACGATACACCTTCAGCTGACAGATGGTATCATCTTGGCATTTGGAAGTGTTTGGTCTCGACAAGGCCGGTATGCAACCACCGATTTGGCGTCCAATCACTGCTTTAAGCACATTGCCAAGATCGCATCTTGGATGATTATTGGTAACTACTTGATTACTACATTGTTCATTTTCGATCGCCTCAACAGCTGAACAGAATGGCCCTAGTGATGGCTTCACGTTGAGTGTTCGAAGTGACACAAATAAAGGAAAATGCCCCAAAAATAGGCTTCAAAACTTTTAAGCAATGCTATCAAATCTGTAAGGGCGCTCGTCTGGGCCGCTGAATCTAGGCATGAAGCTGATGAGCAGCGGTCAATCGCGTATGTCTGTCGATCAGTGCTTGCTGATGTGACGAATGATAACGTGGAGTTGTTGGTCTAGTGATGCGGCCAACAAGACGGTTGAGTCAAGGCGACGGGAGCCAATAAAGGTCTATTTCCATACATGCGGTAAACATCACAAGGGAATTCAGCTCGGGTCATCGTGTAGCCCATTTGCCAAAGGACTCTTTGGGTACCAATTTGATCATTATATCATCTCGATAGATTCAATATCGACACGGGGTAGACTGCTCGGCCGACTGAACTCTTCAAGGCCTTCGGTTTCCGATCCCATAATTGTGGACGTCGCGTTAGGAAACGGAGGCAAGCAGGCTCCGATGGGCCCAACCACCATCGTCTCATTGGGTGAAAATGTTACATAAGCGGAGGTTCCGTCTGCCGATTACAAAGAACATCTTGCTCTCGGTTCTCCATAAACCCCCGTTTTTTGAGACCCTGGTCGCACTAGCGGATCAGCCTGCATGGTTGTGGGAAAGACTGATCACGATCGAGGCAAGTTTTGGCGAGTTGAACCAACGGTCTGTCTACAACTGGCCTGACTTTGGTCGGTAGAAATGGGTCCAGCCATCAAAAGAAGGAGAGATCATTCCCAATCCCGGCACCCTCCTCGTTACCACGCAATCGCTCCCATGGATACTAGAAATGTTGAGCACTTCCCTCGGAAACATCGGTGAGCTGGCTGTGGCCAATCCTGTTACGCCGGATTAGCCTCTGCCTTGAGCATTGCAACGCCCGTTTGCAGCAAACCCATCTCCGATTTTTTCTACATGAGTGCAAGCACTTGTCTTCGTTGAAGAGCCATCCCATTCGCCCAATCTTCCGTCTATCACCAGCCTATCTCCAATTCCAGCCATGGCAAGACCGCAAGTTGCCAGCAACGAAGAGGGTGTGGGCTCTAATGAGCGGGCACCTCTCCTCAACTCATCTCCCACACAGAACAGCACGAAGGATGGAGTCCCACCTCGGATCACTCGCCGTCTATACGTGTCGCACTTCCTGTCCACTTGGAACTCTCGCGTCTTCGAATTTGGGGCCGTGCTTTACCTGGCAAAGATCTTTCCAGGGACATTGATGCCCATGTCAGTGTATGCACTCACTCGTGGGCTGTCAGCAATTCTCTTAGCCTCGGCCATTGGGCAGTACATCGATACTGGTAACCGTCTCGATGTCGTACGCGTGTCAATTGGTCTGTCTATCCCCTTACATTAGACGGGCTGAACCTGTTAACACCGTGCAGTCTTTCAACGTCTGGTCGTGGCGGCTTCATGTGTCTTATTTTATTTGATGAAGACCAAACTTCTGTCTGGTAAGATTGTGGACCTTGGTCTGCTGGTTCTCACTTCATTCTTCGCTTGCATCGAAAAGCTGTGCTCCATCATGAACCAAGTTTCGGTTGAGAAAGACTGGGTATGTGTAACAACTCATTGTAGTATGGGCTCATGCCGGACTGATGATTGACCGTCATCCAGGTTGTCGTTGTGGCCGACAATCATACGTCTTCGCTTCGAACAATGAATGCGCAAATGCGCCGCATCGATCTGCTCTGCAAGCTCCTCGGGCCCCTTTCCATCGCCCTGATCGACGGCATATCGACCGAAACTGCCATCATCTTCAACTTCATCATGAACGTCTCTTCTGTGGTGATTGAGTACCACGCCATCGCACGTGTGTACTACGAGGTTCCAGCACTACAGGCGAATAAGTGTGATGGCCACTCACCCGATATGACCGCCAGAGGACTTCCTGGAGCTTCATTTGGCCGACTAAACGGCTTGGGTCAACGCTTGAAGTTTGTCGCGAAGAAGTCCGTGGATGACATGAGACTCTACGTTCGTCATCGCGCGTTCCTCCCATCTTTCGCTGGTGCTTTGCTGTATCTGACGGTATTGAGCTTCGGCGGTCAGATGGTCACCTACTTGCTCTCCACTGGATATTCCGCTACCGAAATTGGCATTGCGCGAACTTTAAGCGTAGCCTTCGAAGCCCTGGCCACCTGGGTTGCGCCGTGGCTGATGGAGTTGATCGGTCCTGTGAGGGCGGGCTTGTGGATGAGCAGTTGGCAAGTATCCATGTTGGCAGTGGGAACCGCAATCTTCTGGGCATATCAGGATCAGCCTTGGCTTTCAGCGACTGGCCTGGTTGGAGGAACTACTCTCAGCCGTGTAGGACTGAGAGGGTTTGACCTCTGCACTCAGATAATCGTGCAAGAAGTGAGTGCTGCAAAAGTGTAGCATATGCCACAGCGTTTGCAAGCTGACGAGTATGATGTAGGACGTCGAGGCAGAGAATCGTGGTGCTTTTTCTTCGGTGGAAGCAGCTTGGCAGAACGCCTTCGAGCTGTTGTCGTATGCCTCGACCATCGCTTTCTTCCGACCCGAACAGTTCCGATGGCCGTCTCTTCTTTCCGTTGCAGCGGTTGCAACTGCCAGTGCAGCATACACCCTCTTTGTATACCTTCGTCGCGGACATCTGCTACACCTGAAGGCTTTGGGGGAGTTGTCATGCGTCCCAGTGAGATCCAGACAAGGCGACGAAGAAAGAGTCATCGCAAGAATCACATCGGAAACCGATATCTGAAAACAATCAATTCAGTCGCTATGATATACGTCATTCTTTATGTCGCTCAGAACATCGCTAGAGGGTTGGTCGCGTTGGCAGGGCGTTGCTGTGCCACATCCCAGTGCTCCATGATGCAGGTGCCGTCGAACCTGAAGACATCGACAACGGCAAATGGCTGTCCGCCTCCTACAACATCCATCCGGTAGTGAATAAACGCAACATTATTCTCGAAGCCCTTATTCATAATCGTGTTATTGACGGTGTTCGGGGATACGAAAGGTCCAAGGACATCTAAAGTGTTTTGTCGGCCTGAGAGGGCGCTTGGGTTATGCTGAATGTAGTCCTCCGAGACGTGGTTGAGCAGGGCCTTGGTAGCGTTTCTGTCCACGTAGAAAGCCTGAATGAATTCTCCCAAAATGACTCGTTGTTCCTCTGGCGTTGCTGACCGAGGCGGGCAATAAGGAGCCGATCCCTGGCGACGGTGTAGGCCGGTAGCGTCGGTGGCCCAGGCGAGAGCGCTGACGCCTAGAGCGAGTATCGAAGAGGCGCGCATCATTTCTGTCGGTATTTCAACGAGTGTGGTGGACTAGTTCGTGTGGTGAAGCCAGGCTCGAGTTGAAGGAGATTATCGCATCATGAAGCAGTTGTGGAATCTGAGTTACTTATACTCTGAGACGGAGGCGAGGCGCAACAAGTGCCGAACTTCAAATAGATGAAGCAGTGCTGACCAAGACTTTTAGAAGAGAACAACCGACGGGAGTTCATCCTAACTGCGCCACGTGCTGCAATGCTAAGGAAGTCTATTATGGTGGATCCTGGTCTGATATGATACCGACAGCAATAACTATGATCTTTTCTGCTAGTGAGTCAGGAGTTGTAGCGAGGGCTTCGCCTAGAATTGTTCCTTGATTTGCAATACTCGTCTTCATAAATGTCCTGCCTATTTCGCTCGGTTGATTGAAGCTTGAGTTGCATTGAAGAGCACAACCACTCTACTAGTTGCCAATCTGGAGATGCTTCCGCAACTTAATCTGTGGCTTTTGGCGCAGGAACGCAGACTTGGGGCCTGACAATAAGGGATACCCTGTTGGAGATCCCCAGGCGGTCGGCACAGTGCCGAGCTAGTTTCATGGTAACGCATGGCTCTAAGGTTTGGATTGTGGAACCACGGACGGCTTCCCGGTTTAAACCCCCGATGCCTATCTTCCCGGGTTACTAATTATGGTCGCTTACAAAAGGATTAACGGCTGGTATCAAATTGATTCCGAGTTGTCATGTGCAAATAAAACAGAGGAACGGCAATTAACACAGACTCATTTGCGACGTAACTTTTTCCGGTGGTCTCGACATCACAGGCAGGAGAAAATCACTCAGAAGTCCGCGAAAGTCACCGCAGGAAATTTGAGAGCACTATCGAGTAAGAGCAGACATAAGCCTTGTCTATTGTACTGCATGCATTCATTCCATGGCAGGTTTGGCCGCGACATTACTGAAATTCAGGTATCATGAGTAAAAGCTGCCTAGTAGTATTCTGGGATGTTTCTTTCATAGCGAGTGCCTGACCTGAACGCCATTGTTTACATCCATGGAGGGCCAGCGATCGTTTACTGCGACTCAACAACAAAATGCAGTACAAAAGAAGCATGTAGACATTCGTATCTCATGCACGAGTGTGGCGTGATCTCAAATCACTGCACGGCGCAGCCGAAATGATCCAGAAAGGAGGGCCTGACGAATTTGGATGTATTGCGGGTAGCATTGCATCTGATGTCTCATGGCCGAGTACCTGATTATAATGTCAGTTCTCTGGTAAAGAGATGCGGTACTTTGTTCATTTGTCGCCCATGAACTCTAACTTGGGCTGATCCGGCAAAAGGGCCGCGGGGCGTAGTCGCTCGCCAAGCTCTGCGTGCGCAACTGTACTCTGGTTCTTTGGAAGAATGAAGTACGTAGGCTGGCTGACATAGTCATCTATGAACAAATACTGACCCCTTCTCAACGAAAACATGCAATTCGATTTGTGGACTTGTGTTCCCCCATCTTGGCCGAGAAGTTCGGGGCTTTTAGCGCTCGCAAGGTGCTCTTCCACCATTGATGTGGTCGCAGCAAGTCTTGGTCGGGCTTGGCCACTTTTGTTCCGTCTGCAAAATCTCTGCATTTTTTGGCAGTCAACAAGCCAAGTACTACAGCCAATAAATGCCAACGCTGGGCCCATCGACGTCAACCAACTCTCACGTCTGATTTCCGCCAAAACTCCAATTGCCCAGACTTGCTCAGAAAAGCCGAGCGAACACCTCCGCACTTGGATCCTTCTCCCAAAACAGACGTTCAATATGTCAAACAGAAACTCATGTGACGGGATGTCCAGCTTTCAGCTGCCCATTCAACTAGGTGCTCTCTGGAATGAATGGTATAAAAAGCTCGCCCCGTCAATTTTGGAACGATAGTAGCGTTCGTAGCCCGAGATATTTCTTTTGCAGTCCGCTTCAGGAACCCCACGCGATATCTCAATTTATTGGCAAGATGGGCAAATCTTTGATCCAGAAGATCGTCAAAAATGAGGCCATGAAGCAAGACCCCCCTGAGATTTACGGATGGCGGGTCTATGCTCTCGCATGTTCGGCCTGTTTTGGTGGCCTCATATTCGGTATTGACACAGGTGTCATTGGTGGTGTCCTTCGTATGAACGAATTTCGCCAGTAAGCCACATCCAGTGCCTGTAAGTGCATCTGCTGATCTTTTACGCTCAATGGAAAATTAGACTCTATGATCTTGTCGAAAAGACAGACCTTGAACGGTCAAATCTCAGTGCGAATATTGTCTCTACTCTCCAGGCAGGCTGTTTCGTTGGCGCCCTCCTCGCGGCCCAAGCCGCTGATAGGTTTGGTCGTCGGCCTGTTCTTATCTGGGCGGCTGGTGGGATATCCGTGATTGGCGTCATTCTCCAAGCTGCTGCTTCAGGTCATCTCGCGGCCATGTACGTAGGAAGGTAGGAACCCCCTCACATCTGTTCGGCAACAGTGAATCATCAAGACAGTGCACTAAATAATATGAACAGATTCGTGTCCGGATTTGGTACTGGATTTGCTTCGATGGTCAATCCTCTTTATGTTGCCGAGAATGCACCGCGCGCTATTCGAGGGGGTTTGACTGGCATCTATCAGCTCTTCATCGTATTTGGCATTTTTCTGGCTTACTGGATCAAGTAAGTACCATGTGTATCTGATGAGAAAGACAATTGACTGTGTCTAGTTACGGTTGCATTCAGCATGTTACCGGTACTGCCAGGTACATGGTTCCTCTTGTCATCCAAGGGGTTCCGCCAGTATTGCTTATGATTTCGATGTCCTTGTGCAACGAGTCGCCGCGCCATTTGGCCAAGCAGGATAAATGGGAAGAAGCCATCAACGTGCTATCCAGAATCCGTGCTCTGCCTCCAGATCACCCGTACGTGGCAGCAGAGTTTGCTGACATAAAGTCTTCAATCGAGGATGAAAACGCGATCCTCGATGGTATGAGCTTCATGAGTCTGCAAAAAGAAATGTGGCTGGTACCTGCAAACAGGAAGCGCGCCATCATTTCCATCCTTCTCATGTTTTTTCAACAGATGACAGGTTTGTCATACACACACGAATCCCTTCTATAATGTTAAGCTAACGGGTGTTGAATGAAGGGACAAATGCCATAAATTACTGTCAGTCTATATCAATCTTTGGGTTTTACTTCATTATCTTTGCTGATACCCAAAGCAGATGCTCCGCAAATATTTGCTACTCTGGGAGTTGAGGGTACGGAGAATGAACTCTTTGCAACCGGTATCTACGGTCTTGTGAAGCTGATTGCGGTACTGGTTTTCCTCATATTCGTCGCCGACTCACTTGGACGTCGCAAGTCTCTCCTTTGGACAGGGATTGGCCAAGCACTCACCATGCTATACGTCGGTGTCTTTGTCGCTGTGGCAAAGCCACAGGATCAAGAGGGGGGCCAGGTTACACCCGCTGGGTATGTCGCTCTTGTCTGCGTTTTCCTGTTCGCATGCATGTTTCAGTTTGGTTGGGGCCCTTGCTGCTGGATTTATGTCTCCGAGATTGCGACCACTCGCCTCCGTGCTACAAACGTCTCGTTTGCCGCAGCGACACAATGGCTCTTCAACTTTGTCGTCTCGCGCGCGGTTCCTCCGATGCTGGAAACCATGGGCACTGGTGGGTTTGGAACCTACGTTTTCTTCTGCGGCTGGTGTCTCGTCATGACGGCTTTCGTATGGTTCTTCATCCCCGAGACCAAAGGCCTTTCTTTGGAAGCCATGAATCACCTTTTTGGCTTCCAAGAGGATATTCAAAACAAGCGCATTGACACGGAAAGTGCTTCAGTTAAGAATGAGCTTCAGAATGGTGGTGAGTCCCAGGCTCAGCACAGCGGCAATTCTGTACACAGGGCCTGAGCAATTTGCTCACAAAACCAATGTCACATCCAGTTGAGTCAAGAGGTCTAAGCAAATAGCACATTTCTATGTTTAGTGTGCAGTCGTAACTGGTCATACTTTGCGTAACGACTTATTTGAATGAGAAAGATACGACTATAAGACTCTCGACTTTTGCGGCAAATGCTCATACTTAGTTCAAGTACATCTGGTGATTTTCTGAGCCCTCTACAGAGGCGCGACCGTTGGCCGGGCAGGAAGGCCAGACCGTTCTGGGCTTCCCGAGTGCCCTTTCAAGCTGTAGCGCTCGCCATCAATTGGATCTTCAAAGATGAAAAATCGTAGGTTGGGGTCAATGATATTGGCCTACTATGAGGGCTTTGTGCGCCGTGCTCCAGGCGACACATCTAATCCATCCGCTGACGTTAGGGTTTAGATAAACGTGGCGCTACTCTGCGGAATGATGTCTTTGTAAAAGATATCTTCGCAAGCCCGAGTCGCCCAAAGAGACTGGCCAATCAATTGACACATACTTCAGGGCATCGCTGGGGCTGAGACCTGGTGAATTGCCATGCATATAATGCTAGTAGACTACTGCACTCTGAAATGGCGTTCAGTATTTTGCAGGGGCGTTAGGCTCCAGTGACACAACCCCGTGGATGTTGAATACTCCGGTGATGGTGGTGCTCTCAGCCGCAAGGTAGCCAAGAGGACTTCACACCCCTACAATCCCAACTAGGGTTGTTCGTCGAGGCTAAGAAGCTGGTGGAGGATGATCCAAGCACTTCTCCCTTCTTCCCATCTTTATTTTAACGCTGGAAGCAGGCGTTTTTCTGGTCAAAATAATGCGCTACATTGCCTCGTGGGAAAACCTTAAGTTCGAGAAGCTTTTTTGGCCGCTCAGACCGTCGTCAGTAGTAAGATGGGGGAGCTCTCTCGGCGAGAGTAGTTGTCACCAAGACCGTTTGGGATGTCCCACAGTACAAGTCCTTTCCTCTTTGAGAACGACGAGTGAAATTAGCATCCCTTGGTGGCGTCGGAACATATTTGGGATTCTGTGCACTAATGTTACCAATCTGAACCGGCTTTCTGGTTCTCTCTGGAATTTCTTCGGAACTATTATCATCTTTGACGAGAATCACAAACATCCCTCAAATGCCTCAGCCGGCTTAAATGCTTCCCAGTATTCTGTCGCATGTATGGGAGCAAGGAATCATCCGTGCCATTCCATACCCTACCTAAACATACATAAATCCACTCTCATATTTCCGTCTTCCGACGGAGACACCCACGAACTCGCTGCCATAAATGGAAACAGGAAATTTGCTTTGAAGTGTGGATGGACTAGTGCGGGGTTGTAAGTCAACTGAACTCAGCTGCTTGCCGCGGCTGACGGGGCATGGTCACTTCCTGCGCCTAGCTGCTTGTCTTCCTGGAAAGAGTTTGAAAGTGAGGCTTCAGCTTCGAAAGCTAAAAGACCTGAACCACCCTTTTAGATAACGAACTGCAGGCCTCTACGCCTAACTTGATTCTGTTTCTATGCTTACTGGTATTGAATCTCTTCATAGGTACCTTATCTCCACTGTCATTGCGTGCACTATTTCCCTGAGTCAAGCAAAATGGTCAGGCTTCTAAGAATTCTCATGCTCGGACTCGCAGTCTTTGCCGCCGCTTCACCGACCGTTTCAGATGCTGCCCCTGAAGACCACTTCCGATACGGCTCACGATGTGCTCCTGTGAAGGGGAATTGCTCGCCAGCCTGCGGCAAATACAACTTCGTGTTCGCGGGTTTGCCATGGAACCATCCTGCTATAGCAGCTAGCGGGTTTACCCCACAGCAGGTTGAGGCTGGTATCCGGCAAGACATGGCAGCGATTGTGAGGGCTGGCTATAACATCAAGGGTGTGATATTTAGTGAGCATCAGTTGGAATTTTGCTAATGTTACTTATTCAGCTGTTCTATTCGGGCCTGAAGATAGTTTAGACTTTCTCTCATCGGAGTTGAAGGGTGTTGACTGGACAGCAGTCGGCGTTGGATTCGGTATTCGAGGAAGCCCATTTCCAAACATCACGCGCCGATTCATGGGTGAGGACTTACAAAGCCACCTATCATGGAGACATTCTGAAAAAATGGTGTTGCAGACATCATCCAACTTTACCGCGACGAGACCCCTCGTGAACGAATTCTTTTCAACTACTCTCCCGTCACATCTCTGTGGGCGATCCAGCAGTACTTTCCACTCCCTATGAATTGCACCGATAATATGGGAAAAGACTTGGTGAATGCCATTTTCAAGTAAAATCGCTTTACGATTTCATATAGTAGCTAACGAAGTGAGTTCAGGGCATCGCGATCAAGTGCATTGCTTGCTCTCCCCCTGTCTAGGCCGATATTATCGAAACCCAACACCACATTGCCATAGCTAGCTCACAAATATAATACGAGAAGATTTAGATTGATTTGAAGTTTCGTGTTGAAGAAATGGAGTTGATGTCGTGAGATATAGGTTGGTATGATTCCGCTTTCTTGACCAAGAGCCTTCAGCACACGCGCGTACGATCTACGTCATCCAACCTGAGATTATTACCTGAACGAATATGAGTGGACAAGCGTCTACAATGAATCATTGATAAGCTTCAAGTTTATGTTTTCTTGGCGAATTATTTGACGGATCCTCGCCATCTTTGCCGCGGATCGCGCGGCTTCTTGGTTGTGCATGTCTGGGCCAGCCGCACAACACCTCCTCGTGTATCTACAGCGCGGCCTTGCTGGTGAATTATTCAACTTACGTTCATCAGCATAGGAAGCAACATTTCTTCTCTTTCACCAGAGAGAAGGTCTGCGGGTAACGCTTGGGTCGCACGCAATGTCATCGGCATCGCCAGTCGAGACGCTCTTAGGGCTGCTGAAGCTACACTTGATGTTCGCAAACAAGACAGATGCGACTGTTCCGTTGATAAAGATCATTCTTTGGAGGTCATACCTTACTTCATACTAAGGGGAAAACGAACCTTTCTAAAAAGTTAGATTTGTCGGGTTGGTTTATCGTGACGGCTATTGAGAGTGGGCCCACCATGTCAAACCTTCGATTGAGTTAAGGTTGCCATGTCGGCTTTGGAGACTTCTTTCCGCCGGCAACTGGAATGATGTTCTGACATTCGAAATGTCCGTGAACGTTACCCTCAATGGCTCATAAGTAGCTCTCGGCAGCAGGCCTGCTTACTCGTGACTGCGAAGCGATCTCCACCACAGGTCCCAATACCTCGCCATGACCGCCGTAGTAAGCAATTCGACTGAGTACCTCCTGGGTCAGTCGCTATCCTCTCGTGATGATGACAATCATAATATCTACACCAATCTCTTGTATCTCGACACGTCATCACCTGGTTTCAATGACCCTATAACGTTTCCACAAGATCCCAAGGAACGGTGGGTTTCTTTGCCCGATCACTTTTTCAGCACTTGGTTGTGTTATGTGCGAATTTCGTAATGCTAATCTGGTGCTAGAGAGAATCTCCTTGAACTCCCAGGGAACAGAAAGGTTCTCATTGCCCAGCCAGCTGTTGTGACCGACGTCGGTGACAATATACGGCACTACACACTCGACTGTCATGGTTTCCAGTACGTCAATCATACGACCAAGTGCGGCAAAGAGATGTTTCTCGACGAAGCAATGATGAAGGCTAGTTACTATCCAGAGGTTGATCAACTGATTAAAAACGTGTAAGTCGGTTGTGACTCATCTACGACCATGAGATGATTAGAAAATATGAAATGGAAGCTGATATATGCAGTACCGGGGCCTCATATGTTCACCTTTTCGATTATGCCGCCAGGGGTCCATTAAATGGTGATGACGGCGACCCAAAAATTAACAGGCGAGTCAAGTCAGTCCACTGCGATCAGTCCTACGAAGGCGCAAAGCGGGTCGTCATGTCACGGTTACCAGACAAAGCGTTTGCCGAAGAAGTTGTGGAAAATCGAAGGTTCCAAATCATGAACGTACGTTTCATCCATCGGCGTGACCGTTCGCGAATGTTGACGAAGTTACGCTCAGATCTGGCGCCCTTTGGAACCAATCTATAAAGACCCATTCGCAGTAACCGACGCTCGATCAATACCAGATTCCGACTTGGTTGCCCTCCCTGTGATCGCCGGAGATTACACTGAAGAAAGCTGGGCTTCAGAGCCGAATTCTGCTCATCGATGGTACTTCAAGTTCGCTCAGAAACCAGATGAGGTCTTGGTGTTCAAATGCTTTGACTCTGGTAAGAATAAGGATGTCGCCCGTAGAGTACTTCATGCTGCGTTTACGGACGGGGCTCAAGAGCATATGCCCCCACGACAAAGCTTTGAGGTCAGGGCTGTTGTGGTTTACGGTGAATAGCTCATCAAATCAGATCCATGATCGATATCTCTAATGTAGCCGTTTCTTTTGAATGACACTATGTCTGATTACATCAGTAGGCGCTGTCTACCTGTACCAAACTGTTGAGGTCAAAATTAGGAGCAGGGCAGAGCAGGCGTTGATACGGCTTTGGCTAAACACGGTCAGCTGCGTATGTCTCAATTGCTTCATGAAATCTGCAGGCGATGCCGTCACATGTTTGCTAAATTTCTGCATATTGCTAGGAAGCAGAATTTGCTAGACCTCAAAAAAGCCGTTCTACAAATTTCTTCATGCTCCCTTTCAGGAGTAAACGCAGACTTAGGTGAAATGCATTCATTAACACAACATCGCTTCTCGGGGTCATTTCTTTTCGACGACGGCAGTGTTGGTGATTATCTTAGCGACTCGGATGACAACAGACTCGTGATAACTCAATACGGAGCTGAAGTGGAGACTTTATTTATGGCCACCGACTGTGCCGCACAGTTACCTTGAAGTCCGCTTTGAGAATGTAGCGCGAGATTGCTATGTCCCTGCTTGGAGGCAGTGGAGTTTATCTGGAGCCTTCCGCAAAGGGGCTGAGCGCCGGGGTCCGATTCAGGGGCCAAATCTTGGTTCGATCTTCAAATCGTGGTTCGTCACGTCATCTCTCAAAGTTACTTGGACTAATCCACGTGCTCAAATTTCCATGAAAGCCAGCAAAATAGATGATCATTGGTCTTTTGCGCAGTCTGTCTACTGGCTGGTATTGTGAGACGCCTTGGCTAAGTCTTGCGTGTTAATATTTTATACGCAGGGTTGCTGACATCCGTCAGTTGCTTGGCTCCACTTGTCAATGATTTTAATCCACGTTGCTGAGCTGCAGATTGCAATGGGTTGATAGATATGGATACCAACAACAGAATCTTCCAGTGCCCTTTGGTCCTATTTTAGATTACTCGACCGAATGTTTCACTTCTGAACCTTCGATCATGCTTCGCAGTCGCTTCGTTCACGGCTTACGCACTCTTCTTGCGCGGCCAACATTTCGAAGAGCTCTTGATGAAGTTGGCATCGATCTGTGTATCTGGAGTCTGCAAAGGAGCCAGGAAACATGCCAGAATCAAGTGACGCTCCATACGCTTCATATTTAGTAAGCACATTTGAATAGGTTACGCCCAGTTGTTTCGAGATCAACATGCTGACGGAATGGTAGAACGTAGAGCAAACAATGACCTGCAAGGCTCGAGAAGCGAATGCGGACAGTCTCGATGCGAAGAGTCCAGATGGTGGAGATGAATGGAGACAAGATGAATCATACCAAACATCAAGCCATGTCTCGTTCTCCGGCGAAACCTTCCGAACTTCCTCCATGTCGACATCTTACTCGAAGACGAAGTCAGCCATGTCATTGCGGAACATTATTTGCGATGAAAGCTTCCAGGAGTCTGTTGAAATAAACGCCCATATTTCCCAGTCTTCGGTCCCAGAAACACCAAAAGACAAATTGGAAGACTGCGCTCTAACACAAAATCGCCCACATTCGCCCTTACAAAATTATTCGCCATCTCCACCGCATTGTCGTAGGCATGCCGACCCCACGGGCTCAATGACCCAGGGTCCCGCAGCAAATAGCTTGCCACAGGCAATACTGGACATTTCACCGACATATGACGTGAAACATTTTAACAGAGTTGTGGTTGGTACGCAGGGTGGTAATAATCTTGCCAATGAGCGGAAGGCTCGTCGCTGTCTAGGGAAATCGGACACACAACGCCAAAAGAAACGCGATAATAAGGCTCAACAAGCAGCTTTGGACTGCTATGTGTCAACACTGACATTGATTTACGATGGAGCAATCGCGGATTTGAACTGCGGGTCAGACGATTCTTTTAATCGTCAAGTCTCAAGCTTCTCAGAAGAAATCTGAAAGACATCCATGCTTCTATATGACACCATTCTATCTACAACACTACCAGTGCCTAGTCGTAGAGTTTATTCAACAGACCTGTGCTTCAATTGCTGTTTGTTCCCGTGTGGAGATTCTAGTGTTATTGCCGTTGTCAATAATCCGCAGTCCTCGGCTTCCCCCTTCGTCTCCTGTTACCCCGAGACTTCCTTTAGGTGGAATAGCTTGCCTTTGAGAAACAGGAAAATGCAGATGTGTGGATGGAATGCTGTAATTCTTATTGGAGATTGGTTGCATTCAAAGCCTCAAATTTGACCTATAACCACGTCGTAAGTAACTGCCGACCGTTGTGGTCGTCTTCCGGTGGCGGCCTAGACACATCCGTCCCGCTTCGGCGGAAAGTGGATGGAGATGACGGAATATGGAGCTGTCATCGGCGCTTCCTCCGCCCATCAGCAACCCCACTTACCGGGTGTGGTAGGCCATGAAATGTGTGACAACTGACTATCGTAATTCGTACATAGTCTTAATCGATCTCCAATCTTGGTTAGGTGCCCTTAAGATACCCAAATTTGGACTGTTGCCCCGTAATCTCCCTACCAAGACTTATTTGCCAGCATAGTGCACTGTGCATCCTGCCTCCGAAAACTCTACTATTACGTTGAAACACTCCCCGACGAACCGAGATCTCTTATACAGTTATATCATATGTCGCCGCAGCGCGCCAGCCTTCGTTGACAATTAATTACAAGACTTTATGTTCGCTCAGTCTCATTTGGGAATCTTCACCTCACAGACTCACGTCAATTCACATGGAATTTCCCTCGGTTACGTCGATGGTTGGCTAGTCACATTTCCGGGATACTGGAGCTACCCCATCCGGGGCCCCGCGTTCTGGGGTTCTGGGGGGTACCATTGGCACCTCTATTAGGCAACAATGTGCTCGGTTGCCGGCTTGAATCACACCTCGTGAAATATGGCGGCTTCGTGATGAGCACAGTGATGTGACAGCCCTCATGACTATAAGCTCGGGTCTTATTGTGCCGGACCGAAGGTGGTGGAGGAAGCGGTTCCAGTGTTCCTCTACGGTGGGACTGTAAATAGCGGGCAAAGGGGTTACCTTTGCATTGGCTAATACTCTCTGCGTAGAATTCATTACTATAAAGATGGCCAGTCTTCGATGGATCCCAAGGATAATTCAGGCTGCAGAGACAGCATCATGATAACGACTGTTCTGATACCCTTTGTCAAGAATCAAGCTCTCATTTTAGCATCACGCCCATTTGGTGTTCTTAGTTCTTTCAGTTGATATGAGAGTCAACAGTTTCGTATTGGCTCTCACAGCCTTTTCAGCTGTAGCTGAAGCTATCCCGTCTACTTCTTATGTTGATTGGAAGACTTTCAAGGCTACGGGAGTGAACCTTGGGGGCTGGCTGGTTCAGGAGGCTGTCCTCGATGCTGGGTTCTGGGATACGTACGGCGGTAACACCACCGACGAATGGGGTTTATGCGTTCGGCTGGGCTCGCAGTGCGGTCCGGTATTGGAGAGGAGATATGCAACATTCTTTCGACCATCCGACATTGACAAATTGGCCAAGGCTGGCGTCGAAATTCTGCGCATCCCAACCAACTACGCCGCTTGGATTGAGGTTACCGGATCTCAGTTGTACAGCGGAAACCAAGTCGAATTTTTGAGGACGATTGCGACATACGCCATTACCAAGCACAACATGCACATTGTTATTGATATTCACTCCCTTCCTGGCGGAATCAACGGTCTAGGTATCGGGGAGAAAGACGGGAGCTACGGCTGGTTCAACAATCAAACTGCTCTGGACTTTTCTTACCAGGCTGTCGATGCCGTGGTACGATTTATTCAAGACTCGGGATATCCCCAATCTTACACCCTTGCACCTATCAATGAGCCAGTTGACAACCGCGATTTCTCCAAGTTCGGTACGCCTGAAGCTCTCAGTGAGAATGGCGCTGCATGGGTGGCGAAATACATCAACGGAGTCCTTGCTCGGGTTCGAGCCGTGAACCCTCATATTCCCGTTATGTTTCAAGGCAGCTTTCGGCCCGAGTCTTTCTGGTCACCGTACTTCGACCCTGGCGAGAATCTTGTTTTTGACGAACATCATTACTACTTTGCTGGTAGACCGACCACCTCGGAGAATTTACCAAGCTTCATCTGTGAAGATGCCAAAAGCTCTGTTGGAGATGGCAAGTTTCCCGTCTTCATCGGCGAATGGTCAATTCAAGCGGTGAACAACAACACCTTCGCTAGCAGGGCTAGGAACCTGAACAACGGATTGTACATCTGGTCCAAGTACACCCAGGGTAGCACCTACTGGACAGCAAAGTTTTCAGGGGACGCTCCTATCGATGGGCAAGGAACTCAGAGCGACTACTGGAATTACGAAGGATTTATTGACTCAGGGATCGTCAAGCCAATTTCTGCGGATGGGTTTTGTCCTTAGATTCTGTTCCTGACATCACGGCTCCTTTTGGTCTGATTGATACTTCTTCCATAGAAATATAAGTCAGATGATATCGATGAATCTTCAATTGATATACAAGCTGCAACGAGATGGACAGGGAAGTAAGAATAAATGCTTCCAGTAAGGAGTCGAATCCAAGTCCTCTTTGACTACTACTCCACCGTTCACCACCGCAGCAGCAGCCGACAAAGTTTTTCTTGGCTTTCTTCCAGAGCGAATTGGCAATCAATTCACTGAGTAAATTGATAAGCATTGGCGTCACATGTTGTTTGGAGAGTATTCATGCCGCTTGAAGCCTTGTGGTACCTGTGGCGTACCAGCTGATCGCCCTGCAGCAGCCTTTGTCTTAGTCTGATTGTGTTGCGGGCCTCCTAAGATCTACGAACAGGGTCCAAGACTTTCTGACCGCAAGAGTGATGGTCCAGTTGCAATTTGCCTTTACATGTCCGAATGCAGCGCAATCTAGCCGAGTTGGCCAATAGTAAATCTTCCACAACGCCATTGTTGAGTGAATGCGTTGCATTACAAAACCCGTCTCCTCACCCAACCCACAACTATCGACTCTACCCCTCTTTTCAATAACTTACGTCAGTGGACGCAATTCACCTTCCCAGTCAAAGCATGAGGTGCCCTTTTAACGATCAACGAGATGGCCGAAACTACGGAGAAGCACATTGAGTCACCCGCGGAATCCAAGCCAGCTGAGTCTTCAACTACTCAAGCAATACTTGGCTCTGTGGATGCACCATCTATGTCGGTAGGTGCGATGCAAGACGCACCTCTCGAGGCTGATGAGGCGGAACCGGTATGGTGTCTTTTCATTCATCATGTATGGTCAACTGACACCGGGAAGGGCAATGATGCAACATCAATCGATGACCGCATGTATGTAAATGACATCCGGATGTCATAATCATATGTCCCATGTTAACGGAGCTCGAAATGTAGCTCAAGCTACACCTCTTCCTTGACATCAAGTGTAATCGAGTATCCAATGGAATATGGACGGCGATATCATGCGTTCAGGTCAGGATGTAAGTTGTCTTGTTCCCTGTCCCCGCCCTTGCATTGGCATCTCGGAACAAATCATTCTTTCGACTGAGATTGATTGCTGACTTCAGATGACCTAGCTTACGTTCTCCCAAAGGATGAGACAGAATCAGACCGGCTCGACATGGCACATGCGCTCATTACGAGAGTGATTGGTAATAAGCTCTACCTGGCGTCTGTAGAGACGCCCAAGGTTCATCGAATCCTTGACATCGGTACTGGAACAGGAATCTGTACGAATCCATGTCTCCCTGATGGGAATGGTCTTTTTACTAAGCGAAAGCAGGGGCTATCGAAGCAAGTGACTTCTTTCCGAATGCAGAGGTAAATACGCCCGCTTCAAACAAGACTCTAAGTATGAAGTCTTAACTTTGTACTACTGGTAGATTATTGGCAACGATCTGAGTGCGATCCAACCACTGTGGTAAGTAGCTTTGCTCATGATAATGACGCAGTCTGATATAGGAGCTGAGACAAAAGGGTCCCGCTAAATGTCAAGTTTGAGATAGATGATGTTGAGAGCCCCTGGGTCGGCCCAAAGTTCGACTACATCATGTGCAGATACATGGCGGCCTCGATTGGCGACTGGCCAAGTTTGGTGACAAACATTTATGAGTATGTTTATCGTACGAAGATTCTTTTCAATTCGTGATAGAGATCTAATAGAATGCCAGCAACCTCAATCCCGGGGGCTTGGCCGAGTTTCAGGACATGAGCGTCGAATACTATTCCGACGACGGTTCATACAAGCCTGAACATTTCACATACAAGTGGAACCAAACCTTCGTTCAGACGCTGAAGGCTATTGGAAGAGACCCGGCCCCAGGTCCTCAGCTCGAAGGTTGGGTGAGGGGACACGGAGGATTCAACGACGTGGCCCATCAGAAATTCAAGGTCCCTATCGGTCCTTGGGCAAAGAAGCGGCATTACAAGGACATAGGGCTTCTTAACTTGGCGCAAGTTTTGGAAGGTCTAGAAGGATTCTCCCTGAAACTGTTCTGTGGAGTCCTCGGGAAGTCAAATGAGGAGGTACAGTCGCTCCTTGCAGGTGTTCGCAACGAGTTGAAATCAAACGCTTTCCATGCCTTGTTCGATATGTTAGTATGATGAGCCATTTATTTAAAGCTCGCAATCTTTGCTAACAGGTCTTCGCAGTCATGTTGTCTTTGGGCAAAAGCCTTTCACCAAACAATGAAACGAAAAGGTCGCAACTGGTCTGATCAGGCCCTGGAGTCTCTACTTTAGATTGGCAAATATTCCAAACGGGATCACTGTTTTTTTACGAGTATGCAATATCTCTACTATGCCATGACATATCCTGGTGACCCTCCGTTGATCATGTGTAGAAAGAATTGTTCAAGAGTTCTACCTCTCTCAAATTCCGGGAAGAGCTTCCAAAAGTCCAAGTATCCCAAGTAATCAGCGTACTCCGGTGTATTGTCCCCTCTAACGCACCAAGAAAGGCGGTACTGTCCCATGTTGTATTGGGCAATGTCCATGATGTTGCTTGGATGTGTTACCCCCTCAGAACTTTCCTTGAGCCTCCAGCCAGAGGTCTCAACGATTTGGTGTAGCTCGGTCTCAGAGACCTGTCAATGTTACTGTCAGAAAATGCAGAGTCAATTACCGGGTTGAACCTACGTAGTCTTTTGGAGGCTCTTCACCGATGATTTGTGCGACATACTTTCCAACGTCTGCCATGTCTGTCAATGCAAAAACTTGGTTCCCATCTTCTACAATGCGATGGTCAATGTACTTCATGTGCGCATGATCTGATCTGCCAGAAGGTATCTTGGGAACAACGACCTGGAACCAGCAACCGACATGAATGATGGTGTATGGCAACCCCGCTCTCGAAATAGCACCGAGAATCTCCAACTTCTAATTTAGTTTAGTCACAAATTCTCTTTTCCTTTGGGAGGGATGCGAGGGAGGGTCCAGCCTTCTCACCTGGTCTTTGATGTCAATCACACCCCTGGGTGCTGGCCCAACCCACTCTGAGGGTACAAAACGTTTCACGCCAGCCGCTTTAGCTGCATCGATCCAATTCAACTGTTGATGGAGATGTTCCCAGGTTATACAGGAAATCAAAACATCAATGCCTCTCAGTTGGGCGGCAAGTGTCTCTCTCGGGCCGTCTAGGTCCTAGCCCGAAACCCCGACGCCCTTGTCCTTCAGCTTCTGATTTGCCGCGCTACCAACCGATGATTTTCGAGTGAAGGAGGTAACAACCTGTGTGCTGAATGTCAAGACGGGAATCAAGGTGGACGGTATGGATCAAGCTTACGAAATTGAGATCGGAGCTAAGCAAACCATCGACCACAGACTGGCCCGTCTTGCCAGTTGCCCCAATGACTCCAACGGCAATACTTTCGCCAACCATTTCGATCTTGAAGTGCTGAGAGACCATGAAGTTCTCGTGGTTGATTGTCAATCTTCCAGGGACCCCTGAAATATGTCAGGGTTCCAATATTATTTTGACGGTATGTATGATGTCCAATTACATCGTGATATCAAGTGAATCATAATTACTCATACTGTACAAAGCGATCAGGGGAATGTAATACAAGCCGCTTCAATTACCACTTTCTGAGCCGTGCGTCGCTTTCAATAGGTCCATGGTCGTCTCGTCCAGAAGTTGAGTAATTTCGACTCTCGAAACTTTAGTCACTGAGTCACATAGACAATGCGTCATTATCATGCTCGGATGAATGTTTAAGCTGAAGCAATCCATCATTCGGGCCTCAACAGTATGTTTTTTTAAGACAGATTGCGACCCAGTCAATGTGCATATGGTGAATCAGCATTTATTGCGTGTCAAAGTCAGCGTCAAATCCTTCCGCTTCACCTCGCTGAAGCCAGGGCTATGCCCCCATAGCGATTTGAGATAAACTTGCACACCACTTCCAAGCCCTCTCTAAGCCGATCGGATGGCATGCCAAGACCAATGCGAACCCAACCTGCGAATTCCTTCCCAAAGCAGGTTCCTGGGACTAGAAGGACTCCCGCCTCCTCATGAAGCATTTTACACAGATTTACATCATCCACCAGCTTTCCTTCTCGCGTGAATTTGATGAATCCCATGGCTGCTCCTGCAGGTGCCACCCAACTGCAAATATCGGGATATTTGTCAATAAAAGCTTGCACGATGAACTTGTTCCTCTCTGCCTGCAAAATACTCCGCTGTGTGATGGCGGCGGAGCGTTTTGAATGCAGTGCGAAATCGGCAACGCGTTCATCCAACTGGCTTGTTGTAATGAGGCAATAAGCCCGAGCATTGTCGCAAAGTTCAATAATGTTTCGGCTATGGGACGCCAACCAACCGATGCGGATTCCCGCAAGGGAATAGCTCTTTGATAGGGCGCATGTGGCTATGGTATTTTCATAGCCTAAGGAGATAATGGAAGGCGGAGTATCATATCCGTCGCCATCTGAGGGGTAGAAAATCGGCCGGTAGATCTCGTCGGAAAACACGATGATAGAGTGTTTAGAAGCAATCTCGATGATCTTGCGCAGTTCTGCGTCGGAGAGGACAGTTCCCAGGGGATTGAGAGGATTGCTGTATTTGAGTTCCCATGATTAGTTCAAGTCTTAGCATTTTGCTAACGAGCCAAACTCACTTGATGACGATCATTTTGGTGTTCGCCTTAATAAGTCCTTCTAGCTCCTTGGGGTCGAAGCTCCACTTGTCATAGGCTTTGGCCTTCCAATAGCTCACCTCTGCACCTAACGAGCCAGGGACAGCTTGAAGCTGGGGATAACCAGGAGAAGTGACAATGACATGATCCCCGGGGCCAATCAAAGCATAGAAAAAAATGAAATTGGCAAGAGATCCGCTGGCGGTCGTCAGCACATTTTCAAATGGCAAGTCATCTGAATAGAGTTTCGCGATCTTCTTTCGCAGGGAGGGAAGGCCGGCAAAATCTGCAGGGTAGTCGAGAGGCTGAGATAGAAGAGAAGGGAGGAAGTCGTTGTGGTCCTCTCCACTAGCAATTGATTCAAGCTCTGAGATGGATACTGGGTGCGCTGAGGTATGAGCTAGGTTGTGACGGGCAGACTTTGATCGCTCGGCAAGCCACTAATACGAACTGTGAGTGTCGTTGCGTGCGTCTGGAGTGCATCATCAGACATACATGATCCACAGCGAAGAATTCGAGTTTAACCATGATGTCAGTCAATGCCGTTAATAGAAGCAGGGCCAGGTGTAAATACAATTTTGGACCAGAGGCGTATGTAAATGTTGAAAGATCGTCGATAAACATTGGAGGTCGTCCAAATATTACCAGCCGGCCGGACACGCATGCCATGGCCTAGCCAGGAAATCTTGATCTGGTGGACTACCAGAGATGGATACCAACCCCATTAGTGGATGCAAGTCAGTACCATACCATAGGGCGCCCTTCCTACAGACACGCAGGGCGCGCCCTGTGATTGATTGCCTGTACCAAAACCGCCTGCAATTCATACAATAATTCGCCGGTCAATGGGCCAGTGTACCAGCTATGCTTAACAGAGCTTCCAAGGTCTAGAGCAGTAAGCATCTTCTGATCATGGATACGAAGGGCGCAAAATCAAATGAAGTCAATTCACCCTTGCTATTTTAAGACTGGATCAACACTTTGATCGATCCGCTATGGGGATCAGATGCAGTCTTGAACGCCTCAATCCCATTTTCCAAAGTGAACGTGTGTGTCACAAGCCGCTTCAAGTCCACCATTCCACTCGCCATAACTCTTATTGCTCTTGGCCACATATTGACATACCGCTGCTGGAATTGGATATCCACCTCATTCGCACTACAGCGCATGAAGGGGATCTCCATCTTTTCTTTCCCTACACCGATAATGAAGACTTTTCCCCCAAATTTGACGGTCTGTATCGCGTTACAGACTGAACTCTGCACACCTGTACATTCCAACGCGACGGCGATTTCAACACTCTCTCCTAGTGACTTTCTGACGGCCTTTTCGAAGTCTTCGGGGGTCTCTTCTTTCTGTACCCTGTGAACGATAACCTCAGGCATGATCGTCTCGGCGAAATCCAGCCTAGAAGGATCGATGTCTGTGATTACAATTGGATAAGCGCCTGCTGCTCGGCAGACATCGAGCGTTATCAAGCCGATGGGGCCAGCGCCGCATATAAGGACGGGGTCACCGATCTTGACCCCAGACCGAGTCACCCCAGTCAGTGCGACACTTAGAGGTTCAAGGAGAGCACCCTCGTCGAACGATAGACTCCCAATCTTGTGGCACCAGACTTCAGGGTGGTTGACATATCGTCGCAAGAGGCCATGTGATGATGGACTTGATCGAAAGAGTAGATTCTTGCAGCCATTGTACCGTCCTGTTAAGCAAGGCTCGCACGAGTTGCAAATAATATGAGGCTCGATAGCAACTCGATCGCCTGGCTGCAGACGAGTGACCGTAGGGTGTACCGCGACAACCACGCCGGCTGATTCGTGACCAAGTACATGCGGACCTTTAACTTGCCACGGACCAATGCCACCATGCTTCCAGAAATGGACGTCAGATCTAGTGATTTGGAGGTTAGCTCAATGAACTTTGGTAAGAACCGATGGACAGATGTGATGGTCTACTAGATTTGATACATAAGATGTATTGTCTCGATATTCTACATTCGGGTTCGTTGAATGCCAGTTGTACTTACCCGCATATACCTGTAGTTTTCACGGCAACTGTTACTTCTCCGGCTTGTAAGTTTGCTCTAGATTTAACGTCCTCTAGACTGGGTGCGGCTTTGTCCAGCCAAAGATTATGGTCTGGATCAATATGAATCCCGATGTTAGGTAGTGTCAAAGTCGGGGCGGATGATTCATCGGGTGACATTTCGGTTCAATAGACTTTGCAGGAACGGACCGCAGCAACCAACGTAATGAGAAATGTCATGAGGGATGGAAAGCAAAGATGGGAGGGTGATCACAAGACTGTCCAACCCACAGAGCTCAGCGTACATGAACGGATATTTGAAGCACTAAAGGCCCCACCAATTGATGTCACGCGAACATTTCTTGCTTGCCCGTTGATAGATCGGTGGAGGGGGTGCGATCATGGTGGTGCACCCCGCACTTGGAGGCCGCAAAATATGCCTAATCGGGCAATATTGGCGTCACTGTGCGGGGGAACTCTCGGCCGCCTCGCAACCTGTAAAGCATTTTGTCGACTTCCTGACACCTATTTTTGCAAGCGGGCCAGTGTAACAACATTCAACTAGGTACTTATTCCTCAATCTCACCACTACGCGGCTCTACGACCGAGAGAATTTACTTGACATCGACATCCAACCGAGAAACTTTGCCCATTATGCCCCTGTACAAACCACCCAATCCCGCTGCACCTGTGCTTTCGCAGTTCTCCCTGAAAGGCAAGGTTGCTGCAGTCACTGGCGGCGCCAGAGGCATCGGCCTGGAGATTGTCAAAGGTCTAGCTGAGGCCGGCGCCGATGTTGCTCTTATCTATGCAACCAACAAACAGGCCGAAGAGACGGCGAGCGAAATCGCTAAAGATACCGGTGTCAAAGTCGTGGCTTACCAGAGCGATGTGCGATCCCGTGCCTCAATAGCTGCAACTGTTGTCCAGATCGTCGCTGACTTTGGACGATTGGATGTCATGGTTGCCAATTCTGGCGTCTGTGCCGATATCCCCAGTCTGGAATATACTGAGGAGTCGTGGAACGACAATAACAGTGTCAATCTCGACGGTGTCATGTGGACTGCTCAAGCTGCTGGAAATATTTTCAAGCAGCAGGGGCGCGGAAACCTGATTATCACGACGTCAGTCAGCGCAACTCTCGTCAACATCCCCCAGAGGCAGGCCGCGTACAATTCTTCCAAGGCGGCAGCTGTGCATCTGGCAAAGAGCTTGGCTGTTGAATGGGTGGATTTCGCCCGAGTCAACTGCGTGTCTCCTGGATTCATCGAGACTGACAGTGAGTTGTTATTCGCAAAGATTGGTGTTTCAGACTTTAACGTGTTTTAGTGTTGTACATTCAACCGAAAGAGCGTTTCGACAAATGGATGGAGATGATTCCTGGCAAACGAATGGCCGATGCATCGGAACTCAAAGGCGTGAGTCATTCAAACATCTCGCGCACTATTCTGCCTATGTTGCTAACATGATGAGATTTATGTGTTCTTGGCCGGTGATTCGTGCTGTTATATGACGGGGGCGGATATCATCGTTGATGGAGGATATACTTTGACATAAAGGCGAGGATCTACGCCAGCTATGTAATCCAATCGAATAGGGTGCCCGTGCTGGTTTTTTTGAATGAGGGAGGATGCCTATAGGTCAAAGTGCCCGCATACTGTGATCCCAACAGCTTACAAATTGGGTGAACTTGTCGTCGTCTTGGATTTTGCGGGGGAGGGGAGCTGTGCCGTAGAGCCAGAATCACTCTGACATCCACCATAGAGAACCTAGAGATAGATAGACAAAGCATATGGTAAACCTCAGTATTTACTATCGCATCACGCACATACATATTTGCAGGAATCGAAAAGTCGCTATACTATCTAAACATAGATTATTCACAGCTATGTCTTTGCCTCCGTTTCAGCCTGCCAATGTAGCAGGCTCACATCTTACATGGCACGAAGCGGACTGTTCTCTTCTTTCAAAAAAGCCGCATGCTGACTACGAGTCTGATTCGCCTGAGGGCGACTTGCGATTCATTGAAAAGAATACACATTACTTTCTGAAAATCACTCCGTAGAAAATGATCCACCCAATGTATACCTCATTTATTGCTATAACCTGAAGATAAACTTCAACTCGTACGACAAAATACTTCACTTCTCCATTCACCGCTCACTTCACATGAAGTGCTTCAGTCCGTGATATTTTCTTGTCTGCCGCTTCAGTGACGCCGTCATCGTGGGCGACACGCTCCACTTGAGCTTCCTCGTGGTCGACATACTTCTGAGGTCTTTTGGTTCCAATAGCATCCTTATCACCGATGACAATGAGCGGAGGGTTGTTGCGGTAATACTCGTCAAGATCTTCGAGCGTCCGGTTTGCTAGAAGCACCACGTTAGATGACGCTATCATTGTTACTTCTGTGATCCAAACATACCTGTCTCCGGATAGAATAGATAGATGACGGGTAGGAAGGCGGCATTCAAGACAGTGAAGACGATCCAGAACTTCCAACCCAGGTTTTGAATGCCAATGGGTGTGATCTGAACGATCACATAGTTCGTGATCCTGAAGTCATCATCAGCTTATTTGTATTCCTTCCCAGCCATAGGAAGTATCTTACCAATTTGTGGCAGTTGCTACAGCAGCACCCTTTGTACGCATAGCGATGGAGTTGATCTCGGTAGGGTAAAGCCAAGGAATCCCCAGCATCCCCACTCCAAAAGCAATGTAGTACAAAAAGAAGAATACGATAGACCCTTCTGCTGCTTTCCGGTTGCCTCCCGCCTCACCGAATCTAAGTAGAATGGTGATGACTAGGAAAGACAAGCCCTGTCCTGCAGTTGAGATGAGCATCAATCCTCTTCGGCCCCATTTCTCCACAAGCGTAATCGAGACGCATGAGAAGATGAGGTAGGTCACGGAGTTCACAGCGGTTAGCAGTCGAGCTAGCTCGGTCGGCAGTCCTACAGCGGTGATCAAAACGGTAGGGAGGTAGTAAGACATGATGTTGATTCCTTGACATTATCAGTACCCGTGAAGAAACTGTTAAGTATCACTTACCCTCGAACTGCTGAATGAACTGGGTCCCAGCTCCCAAGATGAGTCGTCGGAGTGGTTTCGTCGCCCCGGGTTGTGGCCGCAACAGATCTCGCCATCTAATATGATGCTCTCGCTCGTAGTTTATGCTGAAAAGAATCTCTTCCCTCTGCGAAACAACATGGACGTCATCTTGAGGCTTTGCCTCGAGGCAGGCCAAGACTTCAGTTGCTTCTGCCTCTCGCCCATGTGACATCAACCATCTGGGAGATTCAGGAAGCCAAGGCACCGTTGCGAATAGTGCAATGATGAAGACGAACTGGAAGGCAAGCGGAAATCGCCAGGCAACAGCACCGCCTGCAAAGGAGAGGCCGTAATTGATCCAGTTGCATAAGGAGAAGCCGGCAATGTTCATCATCATCTCGAACATGACCAACTTGCCTCGCCAATGTGCAGGTGCTGTCTCGGTCTGCCAGATCGGGGCGGTGGCTGTGTTGATGCCGTTTCCAACTCTGCGGTTGACGAAGTAATTAGTACGTGTGATCAACAAATAAGTGAAAGGGCAACTTCATCCCTCAATACTTACCCCAGAATGATGCGGCCAACGAACATCTGTGCCAGACTATACGATGTGCATTTCAAGATAGCCCCTATAGTCATGATTGCCGTGCCAACGATGATGGATTTGGTTCTGCCGAGTCGCTCGCCGATCGTAAAGGCGACAATGGCCCCTAGAAAGCATCCAATATCATAAATTGCAGTGACGGTTGAGAGCATTTGGGTCTTCTCCGGGCCAACTAGATCATGCACCTCGAGGAAGTTGTCGGTCACAATGACACCGCTGAATGACCTGTTTCTTCATGGTCAGAATTGCTTTAGTTGGGATGTGTCTTGTAAGGGGGTCACGACTGACGCCTGATCATAACCAAACAGAAGCATGTCTGTTGAACATGCGAATGTGATCCAGTATGTGAGCCATTTTCCAGTGAGCCCAAAATACGGCTGCTTTCTTGTTGAGGTGACCATAGTTGGTGGCTTCGAAGGGTCCAGAATTCAAATTTGGGATGATAGCTGCTTAGCGGAAGGATTTAGCATAACCAGCCATCATTGGCCTCAAAAGGTTTCTGTTCAAATATATAAACATACTTTTACGGCACAAATCCGGGGTAAAGACCCAACGGAATAAAGCGAAATGGCCCGACGTCTTCCCCATGGGGTCGGCCTTACGTCAGTGATCAGATGCCGGGTAGACCATGCATCCAAAATGTGTTCAGGGGGGCGGAGAGCCAACTTCGGAGATTCGCGCTAACGGTTTTAGGAAGATTACGCGTTATTTTCCTACGCGAGGTTGACTCTCTGATGAGCAAGCGACGGGTTTCTTACTTGCCCTGCTTTTCTTGACTGATTTCAACCCTAAACTGCCAAATCCAGAAATTTGTGCGACTAGACAACGTCTTTCTGAACGCTTTCGAGATCAGTCAATGCCACTGCCAAGCAGCGGAGCCAGACACTCAGAACGAATGCGGGGAAAGAAACGATCACGGAAAGGCTGGTAAGTGCATGCGTGATTTGCTGGACGGCGCTCGGCATCTGCTGATTTACATGCAGCCCAGAATGCCGCAGACGCAAGATCAAGTGTGACGAGCAGCAACCCCAGTGTGGTCACTGCCGGAAGGCGAATCGCAATTGTCGATTGCAAGATTCGATATTCAGGCAACACGAACTATCGATTCGGTTCGATGACCCGGTCCAAGGTGACCAAGAAGATGCCAACAACGTGACTGCCACATCGGAGACGGCGTCAAGTGCCCCACTTCAGAATGATGACGCCGGTAAACAACTGAACCCTTCATTTACGGCTGTCTTTTGCTGATAGGCTAAGCAGTGAGTGCAGTGAACTTACCTGCGTCTGGTTCACGAGTCAATACTAGCGTCTATCGAGAAGAAACAATCGATGCAGACAACGCCCGCAATGACAGTGAACCGGGGACTATTGACGGAGCCGGAGAAGGACAACCCTCGCAGGCTACTGACGACCCGCACCTGGAACAAGACAATCTAAGTGTGGGATTCGAAGTTCATCTCGAAGGCTCGCCTGCACAGCTTGAAGCATCTGCGGTTGACCCTCTCAGAAATACTCAGGAAGAACTATTCCTCCTTAGACACTACTCAGAGTGCATAGCCCCATGGTACGTAATCCAATACGAAGTTGGCCTATGAGTCCTGCTGCTAAAATGTCAAAACAGGATGGACCTGCTTTATCGTTATGAAGTCTTCAGCCGGGAAGTTTTGACCTTAGCCCGAGACCGCCCGATACTCCGCTACGCAGCCTGTGCCGTTGCCGCCAAACAACTTGGCCAGATGCGAAGTCCCTTGTCAACAATTATTACCGGCAAGACTCAACAGGGCATTGCTGCTAAACTCCAGCGCGGTCCATTGGGGCTGATGTGGTATGGGGCGAAATACTATGAGAAGGCGATACAAACGCTAGTGAAGTCAATCACTTCAGAACACCCCGCCCAGAATTATGCCTCACCGCCGACGTCACTGTCGCAGGGGAATCTGATGATACGAGCAGATGGAGAGGACCCCATCGTAAGACTCCTCGGGACTTGCATCATAATTCAGTATGAGCAAATAAGTGCGAATAGAGACGCGTGGTCTGGCCACTTGTTCGGTTTCTCCAAGCTGCTCGATCTCATTGACGACGGACGGCTACTCCATCCTGACCCAATGTTCGAGGCAGTCTATCCGTTTACCAAAGACATCATGCAAGTCAAGGCCGGATTTTGGAACTTTGTGGTGAACGATCTAGAGGAATCCTGTAAGTGAAGCAAATACTGGTTTGTTTCCAGGCCTGCGTTAACCTATTCTCCAGTCGTATCACACAGAAGGACACGTATCGATACGGAGAATCTCGCTCTCTGGCGTAACATGGGTCTTTTGATTGAAGATAATGGGAGTCTGACCACAGGCGCTAGCCCAAACAGCTTTGCAAACACAGCGGAACACGCGAGGGATAAGGCTTTATCCTACACTCTGATACGATACTTGTGCAAACTGATCAACTATCTAGCACCGTCGTCGCATCTCGATACAATGCTGATTCAACCAAGATTGGCTTTCATGTCACTTGAAGACCATTTCCAAGCCTGGTTTCAGACAATATCCCCGTCTTTCCTTGCGGACGGCACTTTCTTCACGGATAGGGGTTCAAGCGAGGCCGCACCCGACCTCTTCAGTCGTGAACTTTGGTTCAGCAACGACCTATGTGCTACCACGATGATGTACTATCACATGGCATGCATGCTTCTGCTGATTCACCGTCCATCAGAACTGCTTCCGGGAGACGCTGCCGTCGGAGGTCGTACCTCGTTTGATCTTTTGCGGGCGTTTCGTGACGTGGAACATAAACTACAAGGCCACGCGTCCGAGGTCATCTCCATTGTGCGTGGGACTCCTTGCGATGCAGTCAGACTTCGTGCCATTCAGCCCCTGTATGTTGCAGGGAGGTGCTGCACACAGACCGAGGATAGGAATAGATTGGTTGGCATGCTCCGGGAGATCGAAGATGATCTTGGAATTGTCACAGGGTACCGAGTTGAAGCTTTGCTTCAGGAGTGGGGTGTTGAACGTGAATCTCTTTCACTGGCAAGACAGTAATCAGTGTAATAATAGTGAATCCGCTTTCAAGGGACGGTCACAACAGACAAGTCTAGGAATACTGACCTTCTATCAAGAAACCTATGACGTAGCAAGGCATGGGACAACTGGGGAAACGGGCTTTCGGGAAAATGAAAAACGATCTAACCCAGGAATCGAAGACCTAAACTTTTCACGAAGTCGTAGGACTCTCGGTCGGGTTGTAATCTAGAACTTGGCGCAAGCTCAATGGGGCGGTTTCATGGCAATCGATGTAACGACAACCGCCTCGTCGTCAATATTTCCGTTTTAGGAAGTTTACGCGCCACCCTATCCACAGAGATGTTGCTGTCTGTCACGAGAGCCACAGCATTGACGATGCGAGTGGTTCTTTGAGTATCAAGTTTTGAGGGATGACGGATATTTTGAGCAATGAGTAGAGTACGCTGTGCCCCATAGACGCGTACAATTATACCATAAAGGGGCTGCTGACATTGGGAATAGGTCAAGACAGTTGTTGCACATCAGATAGACGCAGGCAGTGAAATCTACCAATATACATGTATGTGTTGTACTTATCGACTCTTCAATTGCCATCTAAACATCTCGCAGAATCCTTCATTCGTTCTCAAAGACATCAAAAAGGTCGTCATCGAAGACAGGCCCAAGCCTCAACTCAAAGACGGCCATGATGTTCTCGTCCATGTCTCACAGACCGGTATCTGCGGTAGCGACGTCCACTAGTAAGCCAAGCTCCCGTGGCCCTCTCAGTAAAAGCAGATCTAACAAATTGTTCAGCTGGCAACGGGGCCGGATTGGCGAGTACGTTGTCAAAGGCCCATGGTCCTCGGCCACGAATCCTCAGGCGTCGTAGTCGAAGTCGGCGAACACGTCACGCATCTCAAGCCCGGCGACAGACTCGCCATGGAGCCCGGCGTTCCTTGTCGTCGGTGCAGCTACTGCCGCAACGGCAGCTACTTCATCTGCCCAAACATGATCTTCGCCGCAACGCCCCCCATCGACGGTACATTGGCCAAGTACTACATCAACGCCTCAGACTTCTGTTACAAGGTCCCTGATAGCGTATCTATGGAAGAAGCGGCCATGGTGGAGCCGCTTTCGGTGGCGTGTGCAATCTGCGAGACGGCTGATCTGAGACCGCACCAGACTGTGCTCGTTCTGGGATGTGGCCCCATAGGAGTCTTGTGTCAAGCCGTGGCGAAGCTTTGGGGCGCCGGCAAGGTTGTTGGGGTTGATGTCGTAGAGAAGAGGCTCGAAGTCGCCAAGAGCTACGGCACCGACGTCACGTATACCCCTCCTCGTGCTGGAGAAGGCGTTGACCCGATGGCTCATGCAGAGACTATCGCTGCGAAGATGAACGAGGAGTTGGGTCTGGAAGATGGCGCCGATGTAGTGCTTGAGTGCTCCGGTGCGGAGGCTTGTATACAGCTCGGCGTGTTTGCGGCGAAGAAGGGCGGAACGTTTGTGCAGGCGGGCATGGGCAAAGACGTAGTTGCTTTCCCAATCACCGCAGTTTGCACAAAGGCGCTATGCGTCAAGGGCTCGATAAGGTACAAGGCCGGTAGCTACCCGGCTGCGATTGAGCTTCTTTCTGGTGGCAAGATTGATGTCAAGAGATTGGTAACGCATAGGTACAAGTTTGAGCAGGCCGAGGAGGCGTTCGAGTTGGTCAAGGCTGGAAGGCCGGATGTGTTTAAGGTTATGATTGAGGGTGTTCTTGAGTAGATACTGGAAGATAGATACTGGAAGACGAACTCACACAAAGAGCAGGACACCGTCTTTGGAGACATACATGTACATGTATATACTTGTATATAGTAAAATCAAGTTCGTTCTAGCTAACCTCACGTGGTTTTGAGGAATTGGGAGTCGATCACGTTTCATTCTGCAATCTTCAACGCCGAAATTACTACTCAGATTGAATTTCTGATCTGTGCATTACTTTCTCCTTGGACCCATTTTCCTATCTAAAGAGAACCGCAGATATGTGTGCACTTACTATGCCCGCATCCCGTAGGTAGTCTTCAGATTGAGATAAGCTGGTCAATGGCCAGCATTTCGTGTCTAATTGCCGGAGATATCCCAACAAGACTACTTCACTAGCCGCAGGACGGTCCGCGTATGTTTTGTTTCCATCATCAAGTACATCTTACACTGTGAAGCACGATTTGCGGTAATGCTTGTCAAGATCTTCAAGAGTCTGGTTTGCTGGAAACACCACTCCCCTATCTTATCTACACGGAGCCCATGACAGCGTCTCGCTGGCTCACGCTGGACCCTCGCCCCCTACGCACGTAATGTATTAGGGGGCGTTTTGCGCTTCACGGGGCTGACTAATACCCTTTGAATGACCACCTTTAGAAAGGCTTTCGGCATTATTAGCGCCTGATTTCGTGGCAGCACAATACACATCATCACTAATGACCCCTTCTTTATCCAAGTGCGAATCAACTTTTAGCCCTGTTATCTATTCCATACTGCAGCCTGGCCATGCCATGAGTGCAAAGCCGAGAGCATGTCACAGCTGTAGGCGCAGCCGCTTGAAGTGTGACCGATCCCTTCCGCACTGCCTGAAATGCACCAGTAAGGGTCAAAGTTGTCTAGGGTATGGCATTTTGTTACGGTGGGAAACTGGCATTGCGAGTCGTGGGAAAATGGCCGCAGCGGTGTTACATCCGACAACTTAAACAAGATCCAGAGGGGAGATCCCACCTCGACTCTACAAGCGGCATGGGGTCCTATTGTGTCTGCAAATCAGCCCCCGTTCGCAAGCTCGAAGCCGAACTCTCCTCGCTCGCTCATAGACCCGCTTGCGCAAGATCCAGATCATCGATCGAGGAGATATCTGAACTATTGTAGGCTACCTTCACCTGCTTGGCTGCTGTTCATACTAACATTCTTGACCGAAAGTTGCAAGCGATGTTTGTAGGGACTTTGTTCTCTATGACACCCCCAAAGATAATCCATTCCGCGACCTCATTGCGATGGCGTACCAGCAGGCAATATTGTTACAGGCGATTATTGCCAGTTCAGCTTTGCATATGTCAAACGCCTATCAAACGGTCATCAAGTTCTTCAAGCATCTTAACAACGAGGGCCTCGACTCAGAGCAGCACAAGCTTAGCGGGCTCCCTATCGATTAGCCCGTACACGACATCTCACCCGGAGACTTTCCATGATGCACTTAGAGCTAAGCAGCGGGCACTTTGCCTGCTGAAGTCTGCTCTCGAGAACATGGCTTCGGTGGATGTTGATGTGACTCTGGCGGTGGTACTCCTCCTCATTAGGTTCGAGCTCATTGACTCTGGGCGGGGCCGCTGGATATTCCACATCAATGGTGCGAGATCGATCATTGAGAAGATGATCGCATTCGGTCTGGAGACAGCGACTGCTTTGAGCCCGCTCCGCAGCTGGTTGGTGTCAAACTGTTTGGTGTAAGTCATCATTCCAAGTAATTAAGGCTTCTGATCTAACATGCACGAGGTATAATCTTCTTGGATCATCATTCGCGAATTCTCATCTACCGCACAGCGGTGGGCTATCGACGACTACTATGTCACTGCTTCAAGATACAGAAGGCAACCATTGCTCGTCGTTTCTGGCAGCCCTCCTTCCTTTGATACAGGCAGGGGCTGAACTACTGAAGATGAACGACGCTTCCATGTTTCCGGGTAGTTTGGTGAATCCAGGACAGCAAAATGCGCTTCATCTCTTACACGCCGCGGAGTCGTTCGACCCTGCTGTCTGGGCCATTACTTTACAGTCACGCTCCCCTGCTGACGACCTCCTCCATCGGACTCTAATTGCCTCTGCACACAAGGCGGCTGTGTGTATCTATCTCTCTCGGATTATCCTTGCTCTGTGGCCCAAGACAGGATTACCAGATGATCTGGAATTCCTAGCCGCCGAAATCATCACCCATCTTTCAAATATGCACCCAGGAGATGCATTATTCACAGCAACAGCTTGGCCGGCTTTCATTGCTGGCCTTGAAACGGCTGAGCCTGCGAATCGTGCTTGGGTAGTGAGGAGATTCCAAGAGCTCTGGGAAATAGAGCCTTGGGGAGTTACCAGAGATGCTCCCGAAGCATTGAGAACCATATGGGATGGGCGGACAACCGAGAATCTCGTAATGAGCAACAATGACCGATCATACGAAGAGGAAGTGGATTGAACTTGGATACACAAACTGAAGAACATGGGCATCGACTGGTTGATTGCATGATTATAGGGCGATACCAGCTGGTCTATCATAGGGTTAGTAGAAATCCATTGCCCGCTGACCTGGATTACATAGGAAACTACTGCAATTCCAAGATCAACCACCGGGTAATTCATGAGTTTATGAAGACCTGGTTTAGCAGAAGTTCGAGAGTAGAGGTCTAATGTGGGTCCATGCACCTCGCGGAGTACCATCGCTATTGGCCGATTGCCTTTCGTGCTCAGCCATTGCCTCTTTCAAGAGTTCAGCCTTCTCGTCCGCGGTCAAATCACTACTGGCCTTAGGTACCTTCCCCCAGATTGCCAGAATCAACAAGCTCGTAGCTCCAGCACCCACTCCAAACCAGAATGTGTTCTTATAACTCTTCCCCAATCCTGCTTCATCAACCGTTGCTGACTGGATGATGTCCGTCAAAGCAAGGACGAACGCTACACCTAGCTGCAGCACAGAATTAATAACACTTCCAGTCAGTCCCTTCTGTGCTGTAGGAAACGTTGTGGTTACGAAAACTGTCATCAAGATGGTGGACAGATCAGTTCCCACGGTGCTGAAGATGACTGCAGGGAAGACCCAAGCCCAATAACTTCCTCCAAGGGGAATCAGAGCTATGAGAAGCTGTGACCCTACTGCCCCTAGACCGGAAATGATCAACAGGACACGTCCTGGAACCAGGTGCAAGATGAAGCCTTCGATGATGCTGAGAATGAGGCCTGCAAGGCCGAGAGGCATATACCACGCTACCGCCTGCAACGGACTGGCAGACATGATGTTCTGGAAGTAGAGTGTGCCATATACAGAAAAGATGCCCCATGCGCCGTAAAGTAGAAAGAGGGCCAACAGAAGAGGGCTCATGCAAGGGGTAGTGAAGATCGAAGCTGACAAGAGAGGCTGAGCAGAGACGCGCGTTTCGATGTAGAATGTCGCAAGGAGTGACGCGACACCAAGTATGAGACAGACTGGAATATACGGCGTTCTCCAACCGGCAGGTGCGTATGCTAATTGCAAGATTAAAAACACCACTAGAGTGAGGCCACAGACGATCGTGATGGCGCCGGGGTAGTCCATCCTGGCTTTGGTTGGGGGTCGGTCTTTCGCGGGTTGGTCCTATGAATGAGGACACGGAATGGACAAAGCTGAAGTTAACAGCGCAATTTCCGTCAGAATAGCGCCGATCCAGAAGAAAAAGCCCCAGCGCTTGATTTGGCCCACGATCCCTGCCATGAGAATGCCACCGAAGAACCCAAATACCGCTGAATTACCGTATACTGCAAAGACGAGATTTTTCCGTGGTCCAGGACGATATAAGGAACCCATGAGCATGACACCAGTGGACAAGAACGCCGCAGCTCCTAGCCCTTGGAGAGCCCGGCAGAAGTCAAGCATCAGCGGATTGATGCTGAATCCAGCTATTATGCTCCAGGCAAGAAGCCAGGCAAGACCCCATATGAAGACGGGATATCCACCCCACATATCGCCCAGCCGGCCAAAAACGAGCAAGGTACTGGCGATAACGAGGGAGAAGGCGGTCGCTGGCCACACGCTGGCTGCTTGCGGGATGTCGAGTTCTCTGATCAGTGTTGGAAGGATGACGGTGAAGCCCGAAACGAAGTATTCTGTCAAGAATTGGGACATAGAGATGCTGAAGACTAATACTATCTCGCTCCAGCGAGTTGTAAATATCGGAGGGCGCTCACGGCCGAGACGCTCAATTCATGTTTGGAGGGATTCGTCAACTTTGGGTCTGATTTCCGCAGTGTCATCGCGGTCCAGAGAAGGGTCGTGTCATAGTCTTTCAAACATAAGATCCGGAATTCGCACAGATGTGTAAAGTAACGAGCATAGGCTCGGCTGTAAGAGAACGAGAGCAACTGGTCTTAAAACATTTTTCTGCCAGGTAAATCACCATCTCATTTGTAATCAAAACTCCCGAAGATGTAAATTTTCGGGCCATTGAGGATGTATGGCAACCTGGTTCAACCACCGATAGCTTTCAAGGGTTTGAAATGTTGCACAGGTACTGGCTTATACGTGCCTGTACCTAGTCCGCACAGCCGTCTCGCTGAGTGGCTTTGTATCTGTTTGTTCTTGCCACTAATCGTCAAGTTTCCTACTAGCAAATGGTAGAATCATGACCGGTTGGGAATTCCTAGCGATCTATCAGCTATCCTCATTGCGGATGAATGAGGTGAAAACCACTATGTCCACCATGATCCCCATCACTGAGGTCTGTTAAGCTTGCCAGACGAGGTGTCAGGGGATATGACGCTAATGCACGACATGCGTCTTGGCTGCCAATTTGGGGTTAGCTCAATCTGTCTGCCAGCATTTTGATTGGGTCGAGATTCAACCACGATCTGTAACGGCTACACTCTACTTGTCAACTTGTGTTGTGATAACATCAAGTGTTAGTTGGGAAGTGAATTGTGTCGTGATGGCATAAAGCTTTTGTCAGCTGGGATTGGAAATCCAGGTGTATCTGTAATCCAAGGCCAGTCTTTATATCTCGTGAACTGCAGTGTTACCAGTAGCTTGGCTGCTTGCAAAATTCAGTCTTGCGTATCGCTCCGAAACACATCTTTTCTACTTCTACACATCTCATAATGTCACCAGTGATACATTGTGTCCGTCATGAACAGGGACTCCACAACGTTGGTGCCGGATGTTATACCCTTCCTGATCCTCGCCTGACTCCCTTGGGTGAAGAGCAGAGCATGCCTTTGCGCAAGACCACCTTCTCAGATCAGTCAAAGATATCCCTTATCCTTTCTTCTCCGCTTTGCCGAACACTTCAATCTGCCAACTTAGTGTTTCAGCCTGCCCTCATGGCCAGCAATAAGTGTCACCCTGAGATTGTCGTCATTCCCGACGCTCAAGAAACCTCGGATGACCCGTGCGATGTCGGCACTGATCCAGCAGTCCTCCGCCGAGTTGTAGCCGAGAACAAGTGGCCCGTCGACCTCTCCCTAGTCAACGACAGCTGGAACGACAAGGCTTTAGGGACTCGCTATAGCCCAGAAAGCAGCGCTATAGCAGCCCGGGCCCGCGAAGTCCGCTTCTTTATCCGACAGAAGATCCGACAACTGATCGAGCAAGGCGATACAGACCCTCAAATTGCGTTCCTAACGCACGGTGGTTTTCTGCACTACTTCACTGATGATTGGGAGGACTCATGGTTGAACCCTGGAACGGGATGGCGGAACTGCGAGGTTCGATCCTACGAATTCGAACTGGACGTCCTGAGAGATACAGATACGGAGGTTCGGCTCACGGAGACGATGGAAAGTCGAATGAAAAGGGGGAAAACCAATCCTAAACCTGCTAAGAAAGAGCAGGCGGGGCTATTTGAGCAGGCGATGGAGAATTGGGAGAAACAAGGGCTGAAAAGACCTGACAGAATAGGACTCTATACCTAAACGAGCTTCATGATACAATGGCATGTAATGCTACGGCAATTACGCTCTGTGTCTATGGAGATAGGATGTTGACTCGTTCGGGCATGTTCGTACTGAATCGGCCTTGTGGGTAATTTATGGACCCTGTCAAAACACGGCGCATCCCTTCCACTGGTCAGTCAACATGGTGCTCATCTACAATTGCGAGGAAAAGTCGGAGTGATGTAAGATGCGACCAAATCCAGTTATGTTATATTGAGCCAAACTAATGTAATGCATACAGCATAGTTAGCATTGCTGTTTGCCTTATTTTGGCTTATGGGCGGCAACGGCCCATTGCTACAAACATCATTGATCCAAGGCCCCTGAGAACGAGTGTAGACAAAGGATCCATGATCCATTTCCTGCATAATGTGCTAGATCATGTTGAAGTCTTAGGACGTCAATCGCTCTAAATGTTGCAACAGGGGAGATGCTGAACCACCGCGGCAATGGAATTTCAGACGAGACAAAAGCATTTTGCGTGCCTGATATCGTGTAGATACCTGCCTTCCTGCTTACCACATTCTTATTGTTCTCCTGGGATTCTTGGAGACCTCAACACAACCTGCAAGTCAATTAGTTCAAGGGCCATTGTGGATTCGTTGACGACAAATTTCTGAATTTGGTTAATCGTATCATTGGGACAATCATCAAACACTACTGATGCGAAACGCTGCTTCGTCTCGGTAAAACCTAGAAAAGAGGTTTCCAGGTTAACAAACCGGACTATGGTTCAGAATCGCAAGGTTCAGTTGTATTTCTTAAGAGATACTCATGTGTCTGTTCTGAGGATTGTAGATAAAATAACTCTTAATCTGTGGCCTCCTTGTTGAAACTGTGTCCCTGGACGCCGAGTATTAGTCCGCAGGAGTGGGCACAATACAAAGTGTAAGGCAAAAACGGTGTGCAATAAATTCTAAAGTAGAATTATTTTGCTAGCTACTGAATAACACATATTTATCGAGTATCTAGTACAAGCTAATAACTTATATAATAACTATATAAGCTTCTGTAAATATAGTAAACTTTCTATATGATATACTTATGGTACTTTAAAGTAATATATATTATAGAATATTCTAATATAAAGTCTCTATGTTAATAATAGCAGAGTAAAGATATATAACGTTATATGAGCAAGCAAATAATCTAGCAAGCTCTGTTTCTATGCGTTCATAGGAAGAGGGATCGCTTGGCCAAAGACACCTAATAAGATAGGATAGGCGTTATCAGATGGGGGAATAGTAAAGCTAGTGCTGGAGCTGGCGTTCTGGATTTGGTCAAAGGATGTGGTTGAGGTCTGAGTGGAGTCGGCGGCACCTCCAAGACTAATGTTGAAGCCAAAGATGGATGCACTTCCACCACTGAAGCGGGCCTTCTCCATGTAGTTGTTGATGGTGCATGCGGCGGAGGAAGAAAGCTTCACCTCCATGCCAACACCGTACGCGAGAATGGCCTGGTTGACAAACGCCATTGGCTTGCTGAGGTTGGGATCGGCTGTGGCGACGATGGGGAAATCAGCCAGCTGGCTGGGGTTCCTGGTACCAATCAGCCGTTTTTCTCTCATTTATTTGGATCGGATCAACTTACCAGCTTCCGGGCGTGATAGAAAAGGTTTGGAAGTCGGTAGCGGTAATAGTGACCTCCAACTCAGATCCGGCCTCTTCTGCGGTAGCAATCTTGGTCACAATCGTCTTGTTCTCGGTGTAGGTTGCGCTGAAAAAAATGCAGTGTGATCCTGTGACCTGAACATTGGTGTTGGAGTGACCAAGCTCCTCCCAAGATGACGACTCGGCGTCGCTCGCCTTGAAAGTAATCTCCGTGGGATACTCGGAGTTCTCGTCATATGTGTCGATCCAGCCGTCAACCAGCTGGGAGAACTGAGCATCGATCGTGTACGCGGGACGCTAGAACGTGGCACTGGGGGTGCCAGCTTGACCGGATGAGATTTCATCGGCGCTCGCAGGGGAGCAGGTCATGGTCACGCTGATGAGATCAGAAAAGACCCTCGCGTGTCAGGCCATGCAGCCACTCACCCAGGAATTGGAGATGTGCCATAGGCAGCAGTGAGACTTGACTGGTATTTACCCACGATGTAAGCCATTGGGCCATCCATAGCTGCAGAAGCGGCAGTTGCAACAGCGGTGGCAGCGTTATTGGCGTTCTGCGCCATTGCCAATTGAGGATAGTTCTGTATGCACCACCGAGCGAAGGAGTCAGTGGTGATCTGGGCAGTCCTCTCCTGACTCCAGGCCGCAAGGGCAGCAGTTTGGGTGTCTTGGTAAGATTTCTTGGCTCACTGGGCCTTGTCACATGCATCATTGTATCGAACCAGGGCGCCAATGTTCTTATCCGAGTGCTGCAAGTATTTGGTCAGTTTATCAGCACTTTGGTGAGGGAAATACTAACAAGGTCCACGTTGTAAGCGTACCCATTTTAGTGTTTAGCGAGTTGTTTCATAAAGGTCGAGAAGAGTGACATACGAGAGGCATCGCTGGAAGTAACTCTGTTGGCTAGGAAGAAAGACAGGCTCGTCAAGGCTCAGAAGCGAGTCACCAATAGCATACAGGGGCCGTTGTTGGTGATGGCTGAGTCGATATCCTCGCCGGCCGCGATACCTGCAGAAGAGATCGCTGCGATGTAGAAGCGGTTGTTGTTGTTGTTGTCCAGGGTAGAGGATTGAGCGAAAGTGTTCTTGAGCTTGACACCGTAAGCCAGCCAAAGGTCGGCATCAGACTCGGAGACCTGGGTTGTAGTCATGTTGAGATATCTGAAAGATGCTTGAAAGGTGATGGTTTGATAGATGGTTGAGAATGATTGTGGCTGAAGGTTTCTTAGGATTTTCCGGAGGGACCCTTTATACGGGTCCAGGAGGGTGGGAAACAGCACATTTCACGCTTCATTCAAATGTCTCTGGATGATGGCATGGAGATAAAATCTCGTACAGGCGTTCTTGATTGAAGCAACCCGAAAGTCAAAAGCGTTTGCTTGTATCGACTGTATTTCCCATGGCTTGATGGTCGTTCCGGGCGTCTGAGACTATTGCGTAACCCCTGCTGGCGTTTTCGAGAACGGAGTGTGATCCGAATTCGCAGCAGCTGAATGTGAGACGTGTGGCGTGTTCCGTGTAGCGGTGAGAATAAACCAGAGACAAGAGCGAGTGATTGCCATAAGCCCGAAGATCTTTCCTTTATGTTG